TCTTAAAACTGCAGTCATAACCAATGAGAACTCATTGAAAACATTACAACTGTACTTCTTCTACTTTTGTATAGTTGTAACAAAAATTTCTTGTTCTTCAAACCTGTTTGATTTTTCTCTGATTATTAGTGAATATTCAAAAGTAGATAAGATACAATTGCAGTGTTTTCAAGGAGTTTTTGTTATTTATGACTGAAGTTTTTAGAGCAGACTAAGTAGCGCGTTATTCGTTTATTTTGTATAAATATTTCTTTTTTTCATCTTCGCGCTTTTTTCTTGTTTTCTACACATAGATAAAGACGTGTGTTGTTTTTTGTTTATTGTTATACACGTCTATCTAAAAGATTGAAACAAATGAACTTATGAAATGAACATCGTCTCGATCGAACAGCGATTTGACACCTGAAAAGGTTTCCTCGGTTAGCCACATGAATGAACAAATTGCAAAATACTTAAAACTTTCATCACTAAGTGTCGACAAGCATTTGAACAATTTGCAAACACTATCTTAAGGTATGGATTACAAAGTTATCGATTTCAATCGGAGATAGCTTACTAACTTCAAATCAATCAGAATAGTTCAGCAGTTCCGTAAATCGATACTAAAATCGAACTGTTACACATCTATTCAAGTCAAGCATACAAAATTTCAGCTATTCTTGTAAATAAACGAGATCTATAAAACAAGTCTGTATTCACTCGATAAACAAAACTTGAAAATATGTTTTCCTTTTCAAAATGAACTTCGTTTGTAGTTCTATACTGTTATTAAAATTATCAACTAAAATTTGTACAAGATGTCGGAGAAAAGAATGAAATGCTAAACTAAACGTACATATGCACTGTTCAAGCAAATTATCTAATGACTTTCACAATTTAGAAAACGTTCCAAACGTAGCGCACTTTAGAGCATTTCATTTAGAAAATATAAACACTTTGTTCTATCAAACAATAAATAATTGTTCTTCTTGTTTTTGTCTAGGATCTCTTTCTAACAATTGAAAGTAAAATTTCATAAAACGTTTTCTTTCAATGAGCAAATATAAATGAGTATTCAAGAAAAAAAAATCTGTATTGTAATTATTAAACTAAAGAAAAATTATAATGATTATAATTACCAATAATCTTTTTGTCTGATTCTGGAAAAAAGTTTCTTAAATAAAAATCAAAAGAAATTAATTTTTCAATTCTTTGTATTCACGTTAAATAAACCAAGTTTGATCATATTATAAAATATAATTATTTTTTCTAATCTAAATTCAAACTATTTTCAAACAATATTTTGATATGATCTTTACTTGATGAATAAACTAATTGAAATTATTTTATTTGAATGTTTTGCTTCAAATATCTTCTTACATTAATGTTGATGATGAAATTAAAGAAAAAGATTTATTAAAATTTTCATGATTATTATATAAAAATTAATCAACATAACAGATCGTATTATTTTACTTACATCTTCAATACCTTAATGTATCCTGCACAACTTTATACTTGTAAAGAAACATAATGTTGACAATTTTTTTTTTTTTCTAAATTATATCTTTAAGTATTCCTCTTTTGTTCTACTTCGAATACCATACAAACAACTTGTTAATACTCATTAGCATTTGCTAGTAAAAAATGTTCTGTAGCCTGCTTTTATTGAATTATTACTTACTAAAAAAAGCATTGTCACAGTATCATGCAATAGAGAAAGAAGTTTTAAGTTGAAAATATACTTTTTTTAATATTTTCCATTTTCTTTTCTTTTTGCATCGTCTATCATTCGTATCTACTTATATTTTATTTTATAGCTACATGTTTTCTTTTGTTGGATAGTATTAAAAAGATTTCATTGCGTGTTAAATTCTGACATTGAAGTGCTTTTATCTATAATAGATTGACAGTAAAAATATTCAAAAAGATAAGTACTATGAAAGAAAATTTATTGAATAAAGAAAAACTTACACATTTAATTATGTCCATAACTTTCCGCATAATACATTTATAGATTTATTTTTTTTCAAGAAATAATATATAATCGATCTAATTTAACGGCATATATTACATATAATATATATATATGTTACAGTTGACTTGAGAATTCAGTTGAGTTTGAAATGCGCAAATTAATTTTAAAAAATTTTCTTAGAAAAAAATGATAATATAAATAAGACTTTATAAACAAGATGAACTAACTGTTTTAGGGAAGAATTCACAAATGTTTTTCTCTGGACTTTTTTTCCTTTTATTTCTGTTATCAAAAAATCTGATTTAAAATTTAACAAAAAATGATTGTGCATCGTCAGCCATCAATTGTAGTATTGAAGCTACAAATTTTAGCGTTCAGTTTGATTGGTGTTTAAAACCTTTCATTATCTTCTAATGACATAATTATAAGGCACACATGTAGTGCAATTCAACTTTCTTTGTAAAAGTCGCCAACATCAATTTCCTGCTCGTCTGCACGAATACTTTTAAAGAAAAACAACATTTTTTCAAAACTCTTCATGAACCATTCAATTTCTCATCAGAACTGGGCAAAGAACAGGACAGAAAAAGTTGTCTTGTGTCCAGTTCTATTCATCATGTCTCCAAGCTAAAAACATATACGTCGAAAATATGCATTCTATGAACAAATAATTTATTCACATTTATCAACTATTGAAATTTCACCAATCATTTAATATTCCTCTGCGCCAGAATTTAAAAAAAAAATATTGTCAAACGATATACGTATATCCTATGGAACAAAATAAATATGATCAATTGATTATTGTTGATATAAGGAATAACAATCTAAATACATCTCTATTATCAAGTAAACTTCAAAATACAATTGCATCATATTAACAATAAAAAATATTTTTTTTGTTTATACACTCACGATATCTTTTATTACAAAATTACAAAATGCTATTTCAATCTCAACTAAATTTTAAACTCATCTGCCACTTATATACCCGTGGATATAAATAGTTCAGACAGTATTTAACAATATCATTACAAACAAATGCATTTAAAAAAAAAAAACAAATTTCATATTATGAAAGCGTTTGGAGTTTTTGATCTCCTTGTATGTTTATGTTTTGGTTTGCATTTATATCTTGAGAAAATAAATCGAGTTCATGAAGGTATCGTGATTATCAGATTCTAACAGATTTGATTTTGTCATTGTTTTTAAATAAGTCTTTTTTTTTTTGTTTTACAAATTTTCATTACTCTATATATTTATCTACTGTCTCGCACTTATCTAATGAAAGATAATCTGAATACAGGAAATATATTCTCAATTAGCAACTACTCAAGATCTGTATTTTTATTTTTTGTCTTTTTTTCCAAGGTACTATTTCCATTGAAATAAATTTTTATAAAAGAAATTAAACGTTCCACTAGCGCTTGAAATTCTCTATCATCTTGTATATTTATTAGTAGCCTTACATTTATTTGTTAAATAATTATAAGTACATGTATTGCGTAGGCATTCTTGTTAAAAAGTTTTAAAAAAAAGTAGAAGTTTTACTTATATCGTTTTCGTTGTTCTCTTTCAAAAGTTTAAGATGATTGAGTAGATTATACAGTATTACAGCATAAAATGACTTGTTCAAAAAGCTATTTCATTACTGATGATAAAGTTGAAACGAAAAAACGAAAGTGATATTAGAAAATCTCATTTTTTAGTTTTAAACAAGGATGAACACGTGTTACTCAAATTATATATATAGGATAATAGAGAATATCAAGCTTTGTCGAATTATATACTTATTTATTTTACAAACTGTTGTTATAGTGATAAAAAAAAACCAACTGAGACAACATTAACAAATCCCATCGATTAGCATCTAGTAATGAGAATATCTACATTGGGCTCGATTTATTTTCTAATACATGAGTGCAAACTAAAACATAAATATATAGGATGATAGAAAATGTTAAGCACGTGCAGAATATGTAATTAGTCTTTTGAATATACGTTTTCTTTTTCTTGTGATCATTCATTTGATACACGAACTGGAACGATTTATTTCCCAACGTATATTTATCTAGTTGTCATTTTCAATTTTCTGAAACTATGCCTTGATAAAAACCTTTATTATCTTCAAATAGTTTCATTGGATGATATTGAGTATTATGCAAATAAAGATAAAATATGCTTACAGCGATTGTTGTTGATTTTTATGATTAGAGTCTATTCGCAGTTTTCTACTTAACGGAATAAGAAATGAAGGTTCTTTTTTTGTGGACTAAAAAGTATTTTTTTTTTATTGTTTACAATTAATGATGTATTACAACGTAAAATCATTTTTTGTGTCACATTATCTGCATCGTTGATGATAATCGAAATAGTCGTATTCTTGAATAAATTCGACCTTTATATAATGGATTGCAGTAAAAATATAATTTCCGATATGAAACATTTTTATCCCTTTGTAGAAGATGTTAATGAGCAAAGTTCTTTCATTTTTCTCCATTAGTAGCTAAGAACCTGTCATTTGAAAGGCTGTGTGATAAAAAGTCAATAAGATTGTCTCTAATCGACATACGATTAACCTCAATTATCGAATGTCAAAATTCTTTTATGAATTCTCATAATGTGCATTTTAAAAGTTCAATGTCTATGTAAAATAGAGATGATTATTTGTGTCTAAAACGACAACAATTCTCTGTATATTCTTACAGCTATGTGAATGCATCATATAAACTACGTGATAACTGATGAAAGTGCATCATATGACACGTTTGTGTTAATAAGTGTTACTGGTAAATATCAAACATGACTTAAATTGTCTAGTTTTTATACGAAAATTTGTTTTGTTTACTTGTAAAATTTTTTTATTTATTCTTATATATTAGAATAGATTGAAAAAAAAAACTTGATAATAAAGCAATTGTTTTTCTTGGTTTTTATTTAATACAATATTTATAATAGAAAATAAATGCTGAAATAAATATACAAATATAAAATAAATCAAATAATGTTCATAAATAATAATTAATCAATTTCTTTTGCTCATTTAACTACGAACATGTTTGTCTTTATAACATTCTGCTTTACAAGCATGTTCTTGTGCTTTCATTGCAGCTTTATCAGATTCATATGATGCATCGAGACGATCATTTAGTTTTTTGGTTGGATCAAGCGCTTTTGCTGCTTTATCGTCAGCCTTTTTGCTTTGAACAGCTTCTTTTGCTTTTTCAACACCAGCTCTAATAGCATCCATTTGTTCTAATCATAAATAGAAAACTAAAATACTAAACAAGAAAAGATTTTCTTCATACATACATCAATAGTTATGAAAATAGCAGTATGTGTCGCAGTTATTTGTCTTTGAGAGAATGAGGTTAAATGAGTAAACTCTTTCTATTTATTAATACGCAAAACAGGAAGAAAGATGATCGCTTTTTTTCTTAATTCTATTTTTTTTTCGTCTTTCTTTTTGGATTCATCTATTCTCAAATAATTTTTATGCGACTTACAAGAACAGATGAATAGGGGTCATGCACTACAAACGCAATAGTTGGTCATGTGTTTATGGCACGTTCTTTATAATGTGGAGCGGCTTTTACTTACTCGATGAGAAATATTGCCAAGGAAGAACATATGTGCGTGTATGTGATAAGCTAAAAAAGGCTTGCAATATCGTATGGGGTGTTGGAGTCTGTTTTATGGTAATAGCGTATTTACAAATAAAAGTTCATGTAGAACAAATAGAATAATTAGATAAATTTTGAAAATAAATAAAATAAAATAAGGTTTATCTTTTATTTAGATACATAAAAGTAAACAATGAAAAATATTATAAAAAAAATTGTTTACAAGCATGTTCATTTTTTTTAATTATTTAGGCTTTAGATGGATTATTGAATACTTCAGTATGTATGCACGATGTTTTCGATGGATTTACTATTTTTGTTCAGTTTAGTATCAAGATTTCTGGACTCTTGAAAAGATATATATGGAGAAAAATGATTATGTCAAGATATGCTGAATTGACTTATAAAATAAAATATTTCTTCATAAAGGAAAAGTCAGATTGACTTTTTTTATTCACACATTCAAAGAAACCATAAAAAACATCGATTTATTTAACATACAAAAAAAGATATATAAAATACTAATCTTCATTAATAATTTATTAATAGAAGCGTTTTTTTATTCAAAAAAGTAATTGCTTGTAGAGTCAAATAACACAACAAGCTGTTTCAATCCTTTCTATTAACAGATGAATTATAGATACTGTGAGAAATATTTCTTTATTTGAATTTCCAAATGTTAAAAAAAGATTTCTATAGCTATATAAATTTTCAAAATTTCTCCTCAACACACACATGTGAATTCTGTATATCTGGTCAATGAAAGTTATGTATGAGTGCAGATAAACATTACTAGAATATTTTTCTTAGTGACTGATGTTTATCCTTATTATAATAGTTCTAATTAAGAAAAATAAATTTATATCATAATATAAATCAATGATGCAAAATGAAACGTTTTTTTACTTAATCATTTAAAGAATGATATTTTTAAATATTTAATAAATAAAATTTTATTAATTAAGTCACTTTGCTAAAAAAGAATGAATTTTGTTTTTTATATTAAAGTTTGCTTAAGTTTTAATTTATATCGAAAATACTCATATAGTACATATTTGTTTCTCATAAGCATGACTTCAGAGATTGATCTTACATCACTGAATAGCATCTACTTTATCATTAATAATAAATATAACTCCTAACTACAGTGACTCTTCTTCTTGTTTTGCTTCTAACGTTTGTACTACTTCGCATTTATATTAATTAATGGGCAAATACAATATTGATATACAATAATTCTTGTATAGTATTCAATAAAATTGATTGAAACAATTGTATTTTTGTAAATATTAATGTTCATCGAACAAAATACAGATTTATCTTCTTTAATTTCTCCTTGATGTGTATGTAAAATGAAGAACAATAGTTCTGGAAAAGAAAATCTCTCGATTGAAGTATATTAGAATATGAATATTTCATGATGTTAACTAGTAACAAAAGTTGATATATATTGTTATCGCTTGATATAGTTTTCAAGAACACTTCACAAGTCGACAGCATTGTTCAATTTAAAAATTTCTTTTTGGAATTATTACATGCATACAGTTTCATCTATACAATTTTAGACTATAAACAAAAACAACTTTCCACAGTGTTAGTTTAATTCATTTTGTTTTTATTTTTAGCAAAATTGTTTTCAGTAATAAACAAAGATATTAGAAAAAAAAAAAAAACTATGAATATATTTTATGATTATTACAGAAATCTTTTTGTTATAGATCAAATAAAAATATTGTGCAAATATTAATCTTTCGAAAAATGAAATATAGAAGAACTTTAAGGAAGTTATCTTATTTAATAAAATATTTCATCATAATCAAATGTTGAGACCTATAAATACTTTCTCATATACAAAATATTGTCTATATATTCTTCATCACATATCATTAAAGAGATGAACTTTAGAGATTATTAGTTGTGTTCTATCTAACCATTTTAATCTCAAACTAGAATATTAATCTGTCAGATGTCTTTTCAAATAATATTCAGATATCCTCTTACATATTGTTAAGAGTAAAATTTCATTTTCAATATCTTTTTTTATAATCTTATTTTTGACGGAAAAATTTTCGTTTTAATAAATCAAAAATATTCACAAAATTAAACATCGATGATGTTTTTTCTTCTTCTCATTGCTACTGATGCACACACACATATCGAAAGATGAAGTATATAGAATACATGTAGGCCATTTGTTCGTTTCTCTATCGAAATATGCATATATGATGAACGCAGATGCATTCGTCGCCGCGTTAATTTTGTTTTCTTCTCTTTTTCTCTTTTTCTTACCGCCGACAACATCGTCTTGCCTTCAATGTGTTACTTTCTTTTGACAGTCTGTTGGCGTTCGTTTTCTTTTTTCTTTTTTTGTCTACTACCGTCCGTCGGCCTTGACCAGTGGCCGCGAAAAGAGAGAGAGAGAAGTGAGCCTTGTCATTGTTCTTTCTTCTACATTCTCAGTGAACGGACGACGACGAAAAGAAATGAGTGGATGGTGAATGAACACATCATTCCCTCGTCTTTTTTGTTCTATTTGAAGGTCAGTTCAAACACACTGCCGCTTTGTTAAACATTGAAAAAGAGAAAAAAAAAAAGAAAGACGATTTGCGACTTCTCTTTTTACTCCACCCATCATTTTCAATGATCAAAGACAAGCAATAATGTATACAATTTAATAAGAAAAAAGTCGAATAAATATATTTTAAAATATCAAATGACATCACCACAATTTCAACCAACAGATTTTCAAACACCAGTTAAAAAAAAATGTCCATCATCATCATCAATAAGTTCACCATCATCAATATCAACAACATCAACAAATCTAAAACAACGTTCAATAACAGATAGTAGTAGTAATAATAATGATGAAACAATAACAACAATTAAAATGGAAGGTGAAAATGATGAAGTTAAAATCTATTCAGCATCAACAATTAAAAAAAATGAAGCCGATGATGATATTGATGTTGATGGTATTGAAGATCGACTTTCACCTGTTGTTGAAGAACCTGTAAGTTATTCATTGAAACGAAAAAAAAAAAATCGAAATTTATTTTTTCTTTTACATTAGACAAGTCCTAATAAAAACGATGCATTCAATAGTAGTATTTCTGGTTTATATACATCACCATTTCTTTATCCATATTTTCATCCTATGTTTCATCCATATTTAATGGCTGCAGCTGCACAAGCAAATGCTGCTGTATCATCAACAGTAAAGAAATTTTCTCTTGCATTAACTTTTTTTTTTTATTTCTAAACAAATATTTATTTTAAGGATAAATCATCAACAGATGGACAAGTTCCTCCACCTAATCCATATGGTAGTGCACCTTCAACATTGTCATCATTTCCAGGTTTCAATCCAGGTAAAAAGAATACATTTTGATATGAACGAAAAAAAAAAGACTGCTTTGTTTTTAAAGGTATGCCATTTCATTCGTTATATCCACCGGGAATGGCTAATCAACCATTTCGACCAAATCTTTTTAATCCATTCGGTATTCCGATTCCAGCACCCGGTGTTCGACCGTCGGCACCGCCATCATCTTCTTCGTCATCATCATCTTCTAATCGTCATCATCAAAATTACGATGGATCTTCTCGAAAGTATGTTTTAATAATCAACGAATAAATTTTCATTTGAATTTTTATTGTTTTTAGTCTTAGTGCTTTACTTGATGCACAACGACCGAAAAAACCTCATATAAAAAAACCTTTAAATGCTTTTATGCTTTATATGAAAGAACAACGTGCACGTGTTATTGAAGAATGTACATTAAAAGAATCATCAGCAATAAATAAAGTTCTTGGACAAAAATGGAAAGAATTACCTCGTTCAGAACAAGACAGATATTATGGTAAGACTTTAAAAAAAGCATTTCAGAGTTGACTTATTTTTCTTATATTCAAATATGACATATTTAGAATTAGCAAAAGAAGAACGTAATCGTCATATGCAAATGTATCCAGGCTGGTCAGCACGTGATAATTATGGTTTGAAAAAGAAACGACAATCAAGTGGTCATACGCCAATATTAAATAATTCACATAAAAAAGCACCAAGAGAAAATAATTCTATGGTTAATAGTCCTGGACATGTAAATCATAATAGTCCACATCATTATGGACACCATCAACAACAACAACATTTAATCAATAGTCCACATACGAATTCATCTAAGAATCCAATGCAATTAGAGAATGGTAAAGATATTTTTTTTTTTTTGCATGGAAAAGAAAAATTAAAATGTACGAAGTTCCATGTTTTTTCAAATAGATTGTTTAAATCAAAAGAAATGTCGTGCTCGTTTTGGATTAGAAGGCCAAAGTCAATGGTGTAAACATTGTCGACGAAAGAAAAAATGTACAAGATTTCTTGAAGAAGATATGTCAAATCATGCCAATAATAATAATAATCATAATAATAATATGATAAATAATTATCATAATTCGTCATATAATAATCATGCAATGAATATAAGTAATAATAGAAATTCATCGTCAGTTAGTTCACCACAAACAAATCAATCTGATAATGATGATTCAATGAATGAACCTGATGGTGATGATATATTATCTCGACAAGTTGATTCAATTGAAGATGATGATGATGATGATGATGAAAATGATGATGAACATCATACAAATGACGATGACAGTGATGAAGAAAATAAACAACAACAACAACAACCTGTTCCACTTGTTTATAAACCAATTCCATCAAAGATTGAGTCTCATCAACAAGCATTTCAACCACCACCACCAGCACATTTGTATCAACCTTCAATGTTACCATCTCATTTTGCGCCTAACTTTCATTATTAAAATACAGTTGTGTTTCTTTTCTTTTTTTTTCTTTTTGTGTTCAAGAAAAAATTTTGGTGCTTCATTTTTCTTCGTTTGTAAATTACACTTCTATATGAAATTCTTTGACTCGAGTGACAAACTTCTCTTTGTTTCCTGTTTTCTTGCGATTTTTTTTTTGTTTTCTTCTAACTCTGTACTTGGCGAGCATGTGAAAAGTCTTGTGATTTCGACATGTGGTTTATCAATGAAAAAGAAAAGATCTTCATAGAGATATTTAGTTTTTTTTTTCGAAACAAGGATATATGATAATCTTAAACAAAATGCGGAGGAGAAGGGGAGTTTGTTAACCTACGAAATCGATTCCCTTTTAGCATTGTTTTCCAAACATTGCAGGAAGATATAAAGAGTTGGTTGCCGTTCGAATTAGACCGTTAGAGCTCATTTCGACTACGCGCGACGTATCAGTAAAAAACGGTTATCTTTAAGATTCATGAACGTTGTGCCTTTGATTAAAGTATCTGAGTTACAAATTAATTTCAATGCAATATTGTCATTTTGTAGAGCTTTGAAAAGCCTATCGAATGATGTATTATTTAAATTGGATCACTGCTTTCACAGCTCAATAGTTAGAAAGTTTTGCCACGGATGTCCTTAGATCTTACATACAAGCGAACAATCTCATCGGACAACAAATGAGAAAGAACAAAAGTTGATAATATCAAGTTTTGAGTCAACCGCGGATAACGGGAATGAGACGTATCGGTCTAATTGAAACGACTATCGGTTCCTGATATATTAATAATAAAAAGACTCCGTTTTGAGAGAGAGACATGCTACTTAATTGCATAACGAATCCTCTCTTTAATATCGAATCTGTTGATAACAATTGATTGAAAAATTAATTATAAAGTTAAGAGAAAATTCGTTTTCCTTAGCAACGTAGTTGAAATTAGTAAATTTCCTTTTGAATTGACAAACTTTTTTGAAAATATCGAAAACTAGCATCGACTTCTGATTCTAATTGACCACTCTCAACAACTCTTTTGTCGATGCAAAATTTGAATCAAGTTGAACCATATGATTTTTCGGCAGCAACTATCGAATTGGGTTTAAGTTCTATACTCAATAATGATACTCATCATCATCATCATCATCATGAGAAACCATCTACATCGGTCAATGATGAATCTTATTTTGAAAAACTTCGATCTACAGCTGAATATCGTCGAAATAGGGAAGTAGAATCATATGTGACAACAACGAACATACCAAATTTACTTGAAAATTTTATTGGATCAATTCAATCTTGTACTACATGGTATTCAGACGATATGAAGAATGTGAAATCACCAGTAGCTGTCGTCTTATGTCAACTTGAGTTACTCAAACAAATTTCTATTAATAACGAAATGATAAAATCAATAGAAAACGATATATATGAACAAAGTATACACCAACAATTGAATACATGTACTTTTTCAATGAGAACATCACATGGAAATATACATTTTGATTTTTCGAAACAATCAATTAACTATGATATTTATATACAATTAATGCAACTTGTACGTTTGTCAAATTTAGATAAATTTATTGAAAAAATATTTCATAAATCAGGTTATTTTGATTGATCTCTATTGTTTTAATATCCAAATGAGTAACAAACTTGATGATTGTAGGAGAATATCATCATATAGATTATAAAGAAAAACGTCAAAAACAATTTGAAAAAGAACAAAATAATCGTGAAAATTTATCAGATCATCACGGTTACCGATTAAATCAAGATCGAACAGTTAATCATTATGATTCTCATTCTGTTTTATCAAATTCATCAATTCATAATAAATATCAAATAACAAACAGTAATGATTTAATGTAAAATAATTTTTCGATTCTCCTTTGTTGGTATTTATTTATTTCAATCTTTATATTCGATTCTTATAGAAAATTACATCAAACAGATCAAAATAGTTTCTGTATAACAATGGCTAAAAGTGTACATTTTCGTGCTTTACATTCTTCTTTTGTACTTGATGGTATTGATATTTCTTATCGTTTTCAACATGATCGAAACATTCTACGAGATACTTGTCATCGCTTTCATAGTTCTGTTAATATGGAGTAAGTTTCGAACATTAGTTAAAAGAGGAATCATGAAACTATTGAGTATACGAGCCATGCGATAAAAAAAAATTCTTTTCTACCTTTAATGTATCGATATCTGAAATCATTAATCCCAAAATTTTAACATTCAATACCCTTTCTTTCAAAAATTAGTCAATACTGACTTTTTATCACTATTATATTCTTATGAGAAAAAACAGTCGAAAATACGGTGTAAAACTTGTGGTTGTTTTCGTCTCAACGAAACATTCAAGTTTTTTTTTAAATAAATTATAGTAAAATATTGTAGTATATAACATTCGAAATCAATGTCAAAAACTACATTGAGTTAAACATATTCTAGACTCATGAAAAAAGCCATAATAAACTTGAATTGTTCAACACTATATTATATTGGAAAATAGGCACAAGTTTTATAAGACATTTTGTACTTTTTTTTTCTTATATGCATGCATATGATAGTAGTAAAAAGTCGGTGTTGTCTAACTTTTGAAAGAATATATTGAATGCTAAAATTTTGGAGTTAATGTTTCACAAAAACAAAAGAATTAATTTTTTTAACAAGTGTCTCATATACTCGATGATCTCATAGTTCCTATGTTATTCCTTTCATTCAATATGAAATAGTTCAAATATAATACAAAATGAAAATAATGACTTTCTACAAACTACATCCGTGTCCGATGATGATGCTTTGCAATCTCGAACTGGAATTAGTCAACTAACTGATGAAAATTTATATTCTTCAATGTTTCAATTAAATGTTGATTCGAAAAAAATCATTCATTTCATTCTCGTTTTATGTACACATAGAATGAAAAAAATCTATAGATTATTAGAATCATTATTGAAATCATATGTTTCACAAAATATTTCTATTGTTTATGTTACATTTGATGAGATTAAATCGTTCATAATCAAATATGAACAAATTTCACATGAAATTCTTCAAAAAGGTATTTCAACTTCTGCTACATTACAAAATTCTTATAACACATCTTCATCAACTATATCTACTAAAAAGAATTTATTCAAACCAAACACAATTTTATTTCAATCAGTTAACTTAAAAAAAGAATTTAATACTAATGCAAATGTAAATAACGAAAATATAATAGATTCAATATCAGAGTAAGATTCTTCCAACAATAGAAAATCTTTAAATTCTACTTTGTCAAAAATAATTAATGCATACCTATACATTGTAATTATAAATTCAGGAAAGATGTTCTCGATTTATCACCGAAAACAAATGATACAATAGAAAAGATTGATTTATTTAATGAAGAATTTTTACTCGATTATCTTCGAAAAACATCACTTGTTCTTATATTCATGAAACATTTAGATGAGATGTATCTCAGTGCAGTAAGCTTACAATATTTTGATATATATATATTTTACAATTATGCATCATATGATTAGTTTATTCAATGGTATACTGAAGTTCTTATCAAATCTGATGTGCATTCCAATCAAACATTCAGATCTAATAGTTGGAATAAAACTATTGAACACTGTTGGCTTGTAACAAGTGATTATCAACGTGCACAAACAGTTTTTAGTATTCCAAAAACGAACTTATTTCTCTGGCCAACAGAACATAACGATTTTGATCATATGTCAATTATTATTTCATCGATTCTTATTCTACCTGTTGCACTAACTATCAATTATGAGTTTGTATTAATTCATTTTTTATTTATTTCGAATATCATCAAATAGAGATAACAGTGACAGTTAAGACAAGTGGGAAAAAAAACTATTCGAATATTTAGAAAAATTTCGTTTCATAAAAGGTATTTTCTGGGTTTTCATTAAAATTTGTTGGCATCTGGCCCTTTGAAGGACCAATATCTCTCTAAATCAGTTGTCTAAATTCGATCAGAAACGTTTTATATATGAACTCATCAAATAGTGCCAGAATTTCGAAGTAAAATGAGATGTTCTCGTACTCCCTACAACTTTTCTTCATCAAACTATACTGATGAAGACAATCCTTCAACAAAAAAAATCGCTTTTTAAGTCAAAACTATGTATATAAAGTAGAACCAACGGAACTGTGAATTCTCTGAAAACCGTTCAGACTCTTAATTTATTACTGCGAAGATACTGTGCTTTTAAGGTAGTTCTTAAATGAATGTCGTGATAATCGAAAAATGATTTTCGAATTTCGACTTGAAACTTTGCACAGAGATATTCACTTATAAGAATATTTTCTTGTGAATGTGTCCGATCTCCTCGTTGTTCCTATTTTAAGATACATCAATGGTAAAAATATCTTTTACAACGTTTATATATTTATAACAGTAAATTCTGTGTTCTTATTCCAGGATAGAAGCAAATTAGAAGATTTAAAACTGCCATAATAAATTTATCTCGTTAAGGCCTGTTTTTGTATAAAGTTTCAAGTGGAAATTCGAAAATCAGTTTTTTCGATATTCCTGAGAGGAGTAAAAGCATGCATATTCAAAACGATCGTAAATTCGAAGTATCTCTCCAGCAATCAGCTAAAGATTTGACCTCTTATCAAAATATTCAAAAACTCAAAAGCACTTCCATCGTGAATCGACAAAAACTTCGAAGCGTGAATTACAGTCATTTTTTGAACAAAAAACAATGGACAAATAGGTTCGGTGTTTCAAGTCAATTAAATATGATTTGACGAAGAAAGGTCGTGGAGAGCTTAGATATGTTTCACTTTGCCTCAAAATGTTTTCACTATTAGATGAACTCATCCACGAAACGTTTTTGATAGAATTCAGAAAATTGATTCGGAAGGCGGGAGGGAGAATCTTAGTTTTTTCTAGGATAAAATTTTGATGAAATCTATATTTCTCATTCGTCGTCGTAACTCTTATCATCAAGAAAATATCTCAAAAAAATATCAATATGATAAAGTTTTTGCTCCAACTTTAGCATCTTATTTTCATAGAACCTATATGATGTTTATCGATGGTATGTCTATTGTTGATAAACATTGTCAAGAAACAACATTAGATCGAAATGTTTGTATAAAAATGGCACTTTTGCGTATATGGTCAACTATTTGTGAACGAAAAAACAATGCAATTATTACTTGTGATAATGATCTTCAATATTTCGGTAAAATAATGACCTAAAATCTATCAAAAACAATGTTTTTTTTTATATGTTAGGTGAGTATGCTAAAATGTTACTTGCTGACATTGATCATATTTATGAACACAAAATGAAAACGAAATTCGTATCTATTCATGGAATGCCATTAGCAAAAACCTTTCTTCAACAAACATCAAATAATCAAAATCATTTTTCATATGATTTAATTACGATTAGTGATGTTATACAAAATACAAATGTTGTTAATAAACAATCACTTTCATTGAAACCTTCTTCCTTACACAGTAAACTAAACGAAGGAATCAACAACAATCTCTCTGATCAAAAATTATTTCTTAATCTTCATTCATCAGAATTATTAACTATATTGACAGAATTCTATGAAAAAGAAAAGACACTACAAGTATATAGAATTTTTCATCCACATACTTTTATCTTACTTGATCAATTCACACCATTAACTATAGGTATTGTTACTGAAACTAAATAACCATATACATTAGTTCCTAAAGTTCCTCGAACAGGTTTATTTTCAACAAAGTAGTGATTTGTGTAGAGAAGTTTATTTTCCGACACGAATCTTTGAAGATAAAAATGATGGCTAGTTTTTTAAGCATATTATCTCTGAAAAACTTAACTTTTGTTTTTTCAGAGATCTTATCCTTAGAAAATTAGCAGTCATTTTCATATTCATAGGTTCTTGTTGAAAATAAACTTCTCGAAACAAATCACTATTCGGATTCTTGTTAGCATTAATGACAGTAAAAAGATCCTGAAAATAAACTTGGTCGAATAGCTTTGAGAGACATTGTATATTATTCAAATTTTTTAGGTGTTCTTATTGGTGTTTATCAAATGTCCATGTTTTTTGAAAATATAATTCGTGAAAATATTTTTCAATTCAATGATTAAACTCGTCTACTTCTTTCGCAGGATAAAACTATTAATCAATATGAAGAAAATATTACATACAATCTTATAAATGAAATAAATCAAATACATCTCGATGAATAAATAAATCGCAAAAATGAAAGTAGACTATTCAAGTAAACTTATATTTAGAGAAAACAATTAATTATTGAGAGAGTAAAGTTCATTTTTTAGAAGTTCTTATCAACAACAGTATAATTTATTGTATTTTTTTTGTTAGTTTTCGAAAGTATTTTAATAGCATCTTCACACATATTCAAATAAATATTCCATAATTGTTCTTTTGTTAAAAATTCTTCAAAATTTTGTTTTTTTTCATAGTTAAATACTTTTTCAAATGTTTGTTTTGTATCATTTTGTTCAATATATGTTTCAATTATTTGAGAAATTTCTTCTTTATGAAAAAGACTGATTAATTCAATCGAAAGTTTTTTACTAATTAAATGCATTATATTCCAAGCTTGATTAAGATTTATTTTATTATCATTTGAATTATTTTGAACAATAATATGAAAATCATTTTTTATTTCATTATTAATTTGTTTGATTTTATTAAGAACTTTTTCTCGACACTGTTCACTATCACAAATCAATTGTTCATCAGATGAATGATGAATATGTTGATTGATTTTATTCGAAGCATTTGATTGTAATGACATTGCAGATTTTCAACAAAAAAAAAACTAAAAAAACAAGAATCACCCGCGACTAGGAATACTAATAATTATTTTGCATATTTTGTTTCATCAAATAAAACTAATTAAGAAAACATTAAGGTTTCGCTTTAGTCTACTCTTTGTTTCATGTTTCATCATTCTAGAAGAGAAAAATCAATTTTTCATCATTCTATTTACATGTACAGGAGATAAGCAACACAAAGAATTCTTAAAAGAACCTACAAAAAATAATATTGAAATGAAGAAAATAAAAAAAAAGAAGTAGAAATCATTCGCACTTTGAAAACGAAAAAATAAGACGAAAACAATGGAACATATAATGGTAAGTTCAATAAGATTCATATTATCTCATCTGTTTCTTGATATAAATCAAAAGGATAACGGTGTATCAACTAATATGTACAAACAACAACCGGCATTACAACTTCCACCAATGACGTCTCCGACACCAGCTAGTGCAGCCATATCGCCTCGTTTTGATAGTCTCATGGCACGATCAAGTTCAACTCCTTGGTCACCAGCACCATTGAATGGAAGTCAATACGAGAAAACATCAGCTGATCCAAGGTTAACAAGTCCTACATATGTGAAATCATCTTTTTTATGGCCAAATAAGAGTAATACTTCATTTACAAAAAGAGCAGACTCAACGGTATACAATAATAATTCGTTCACCAAAGTATCGGATTCAACATTACATAGTAATAATTCCTTTACGAGAAGAATGGATTCAACAGTAGCCAGTAAAAATTCATCCAATGCACAAATGATATCAAGGTTTGAAAAAACGGCAAAGAAATATATATAAATTCATTTTCTTTCAGTTCTGATGAAACATGTGTTTGCTTAAATGATACATGTTCACCTCGCTGTAAACTTGGTATACTTGGTTTTATTATTGGACTTTTAGCTGTTTGTATACCATTGGCTGTGGTGTTAGTTTTATGGCTAAGAAAATAATTATTTATGGTACCGTCTCTACGACTTTAACTTAAACATATTTTTATATACATGCGTGTGTGTGTGTGTGTGAAGTATTGTAATTAACATTATTTTACACTGACACTTTTTCATTATAAAAAAATATATTACTTGAATATAATATGGGCGTTATCTTGTTCAATGAAGCGAAACAATATAAGTAGAAATATAAAGTAGAAATTTACTTGTCAATAAAACCAATTAATTAGTTGATAAAATAACTCTTCATTTTTTATTAACGGAAAAAAGTTCTAATAATGATCAAGATAATTTTTTTTGTCTATAAAATATAATTGTTCGATTTATTACAGTTAAAGATTCATAAAATTACATTTGATCTCTACTGTTATGTGTGAAATTTTTCTGGCATTTATTATTATCAAAGATTTATTTTGAACGATTCTCGTAATTGTTATACATTGATAAATTATTGTTTCCTCGTTGAGTTGTCTGCAATACTTGCAATTCATTATTAGATCATCTTAAGTATTTTGAGTGAAAAATGTACGATTGTGCGTTTCAAAATAAAAGGCAGGTTGTCATTTTCTAAATAACTTTCGCTGAGTACAAAATATAGACCTGCAGTTTTCACCATTCGAAAGAGCAATGTCTGGGCCATAGATTGGTATAAAACTCGGTGACCGATCACTTCGTCGCCCGATATGTTCGTTGCGTCCCTCTCAATTAATTGTTTTTCAAGACATGAAATTGATCAATTTAATTCATCTTTATTTTGTGCATGATACATAAGATAATGATGAACAAATTGAGTACAAAAAATAAAAATAAAAAAACGAAACTAGAAAAACCAAAAAAAGAAGAGAAAAATAAAAAAAAATTAAAGAGTAATGTTAGCCGCAATATTTTTTAAGTTATTCTTCGTTCACTGGAGCTCCATCAGAATGACATTGTATTTAAATTTTTTATTGATCCATTTTCCCAATTAAAATCATATGTATTAGAACAATCAATTGTCTATTGTTATTGTACACATCCTATAGAGTGTTTAATTTATTTTAATTTATTTTATTTTATTTCTTTATTTTAAAAAAAGAATCAATTGAGAGGAACACAACGAACAGAACGAAAGAAATTGTTGTGCGACGAACAGAACGAAAAAAACATTGTTCTGCGACGAAGTGTCGTGCGACGAAGTGATCGTGCGACGAAGTGATTGCGACGAAATGTACTAGTGCCTAAAACTCATTAAGACAAAAGATGTTTTTTTTAGAGGTCGTTTTAGATTAAACAATATTTTCTTTGAGTATTTTCATCAATTTTCACAAATATCTCAACTGAATGGATGGAAAAAGGCAGAAAGGAAAAATGTCGAAAGGGAAAAATATCGAAAATAAAAATGTCGAAAACAAGAATATGAGATAAAAATGAGCATGTAAGATTGAATTGAGGGTGAGGGAGACTTGTACTTCAATATACTCTCGTTTTCAGAATTTTTATCCATCTACATTTGTATTATTTTTGTTTTCGATATTTTTATTTTCGATATTTTTCCTTTCTGCCTTTTTCCATCATACCTCTCAACTCAAATGATGTCAAAATGTAGCTTAAATCACCCTTTTTTCGTTGAAAAATTATCCCATCTTTCAATATCTCTTAACCTTTTAATTCTAAACCGATTTAAAAAAACCTAGCTTTTTTCAAGGACTTAAACCGGCGTTTTCAAAAATCAACGTACTCCATCAAGTGATTATACTAAACTTTTTATGGTCAGGTGTGTCTTCAAACCACTAGCCGAAAGCCTACAAAACTATGCAAAGCCCACACTTTGAGACTTACTCCTTCAAAAGTTATAAGTATTTTACTTGAAATTTTGTGTCGATTTTTCTATTAATTTCTGTGAAAAAATAAATGTTTTGCGTGTTTCTTATTTTATAAGAAACAAATGTCCTAGCAATTGTTTTAGAAAATTGATTAAAGAAACTGTGGAAAACATCTTAACAAAAAACCTATAATATATGATTCGATGTGTCTTCATCTCCACTTTCAAATGGTGAAAATCACAACTCTCTGCCTTGTTCCTATCAAAAGTTATTCGTCATCAAAGACTGTCAGGTTACTTTTGAACCACCCTGTATATGAATATATCCGCCTGGCAAAAAATAGTTGAATACAGTATTTTTAACAAATCATTACTTTAAATTAAAATTTTGGAAAAAGTAAATGTATATTCGAATAGCCCGAAGAATTCTCTACAACTCTATATGTAAACATTTTGAATTGCACTGGTTTACTAAAAATAAATTCAAATGCAATAAAAACACCCTCATAATGAGATTCCCCAGAAATGCGTTTTTCCTTCATGTTTTTCAAATTTTTGTTTTTGTGTTTTCATCAATTTTTCAATTCTTTTTAGATAGAGGCTAGTCATTACAAAACTAAGTACATAACTTGAAAGTGCGCAGAACCCTCTCCATTCCTATACTTTCATATCAAAATAAATTCGAAAAAAAACTGATGAAAAAACATGAAGGAAAAATGCATTTCTCGGGAATCTCATTATGAGGGTGCTTTTACTGCGTTTGAATTTATTTTCAGTAAACCAGTGCAATTCAAAATGTTTATATGTAGAGTTGTAGAGAATTATTCGGGCTATTCGAATATATATTTATCTTTTCGAAAATGTTAATTTATAGTAATGATTTGTTAAAAATACTGTGTCCAACTATTTTTTGCCAGGTGGATATATGTGTATAGTTAAGTGATATAAACAGTTCTGCAAACAACGACTAGAGCTATTATATGAGAAGAAGATGGTTCGAATTACATGAAAATCATTTAAAGTTATGGTTGCTTTATTATTCAGAACTAAACATTTTGCATCTTACATGTTAGTTTGTAGATTAGAAGTTACTCTACAAAATATACTATTGAACTTTTATTTTATTTTTCTGCAGATCATTTCAATTTTCGTTTCTCATGATCTCTTATTACTGAAAAATTGAATTTTTAATGTAAAGGTGTTTTGTATAAAAAGGAGCTCTTGGCACAGTGCCTATAGTTTCATTAGGAAAAAGTCACAGCTAAGTTCAGTATTAAATTTTGATAAAGAAGTATTCACTTGGCAAAACAACCAACTCCACTAATTGTTGACACCAACTGAAAAAAACTTATAGGGATTGAAAAAGCCTATTAGTTCAACATTAAATCTAATTTTTTAGTTTTCAAAAAAAACTATTTTACTAGTCTTGAACAAATATGGACATCATTTTTCTGATCCCATATTCAAAGAGGGCACAACATTTTGATTATTATTCACAGTTTTTGACTTGTTTGACATACTTTCAAGCAGATGAAAATGAATAATCAGTTGCACCAAAAACTTCGGCTAACACAATCGGTTCAAAATAATTTTTTTCAGCTTTTCAAAAATTATTTTACTGGTCTCGAACAAAAACTGAGACAAGATTTCTAGGTTCAAATTCGGAAAGAACACAAAATTCCACTCCTAACTCATAGCTTTTGACTGTTTGGAAACACTTTCAAAAAAGACAAAAAATAGACAAATATCTTGTCTCAAAACTTTCGGCTGACCCGTTATTGATACCATTTTTCTATAATAAAAACATTCTGTAGCGTTTTCTTTTGCAACAGTATATGTAGTCTTAAGATAGATTTCCTTTTTTTAGTGAGCATAAACATATTTATGAAATAATATCAGGTATCTATTTGTATGAGTATGAGAATGCTTATGTGACATATTAATTATTCTTCAATTTATTCTGTATTTTCGTACATTATAAATTAATTCGAAAATTATTCATCAAGAATAGGTGTATTCAAGAAACAATTTGAACAGAGTTACAATTTTAAAGAATACTTTTATGTGTCAATATATACATGTTTCATTATGAATTTACTAATAGTAAACTTGAAAAGAAAAATTTGACTACTAGCAAACTCTGAATCGATAAATTAAGTAAAATTTACCTCACAAGGGAACGATTTTAAAAAATCAATTGCTTTCTCCAAAACAATGTACTAAATGGTCGACTATCAACCATGCTAATTTTGAATATGATCATTTTCTAGTTAATTTGATATGCTCTATAATTGAAACAGATAAAAAAAAGAATTTTTTTGGCGAAAAGTACGCCAGTTCAAAAATTTGGTTTTCTAGAAAATCAGAATTAGAAGTTCTAAGAGAATTTTTCATGTCCATATTCGGAATCATCATAGTCGATTGCCTATTAGCTTATAGCTTTCATTAATAAAATGATTGATCAGTTGGAACGATTCCTTGATAAGCCTCTCTCTCTCTCTCTTTGAATGCATATTAAAAGAAGTATAAGAACTTTTGTGCTTGTTTGAAGTTTGAAGAATAGATTTATAATTTAAATTTACATTAGACCTTTTTATTTCATTGATCAGTGAAAGTGATTTTTATTCTAAAAATTGACAGTTTTTTTTCCAATTGAGTTTCAATAGGAAAATGACATCTTTTTAAGACTATAGGTTTAGTAACGAGACAGAATAACGTTTTTGGATCAGACTTTGTTGATATAATAAGCATTATACACAATAAAATAAATACTGGCTTAAACAAAAAAATACTTTTTCAAAATCTATCGACGAAATAATTAAGACATAATACAATACAAGAAAATAATGAATCCGAGAAGATTTACTCAAGTTAAAAAATATTCAATTTACAACATAAAAATTTTCATTTGAAATTAGATAACTGGGAAAACAAAAACCTATGTAAACCTATTAAAATATGACTTCAATTCAACATTTTGAGAATAAACCGAGCTTTTTTCTGTTTGCACTTGTGCAAACACAATCACATAGAAATTTGATAGTAACATTCTTGATTACTAAATGTTATTTCACAATCATTACTAAGCTCGTTGACAACGAACTGTCATATAATAATAATAAATAATATGAATCATCAAAATTGTTGAATATCATTCGACTAAAATAAGTCTATTATTAAACTATGTCTATTCGTCTTCATTCAGTCCTAACTGAACAAGATAAGTTTTTCTTTGGACAATAAGTATTCTGCCATTTTTTCGTAATTGTTTGTGTATATATTGTATGTTTACCTTTATCTGACGAATCATTCAAATGAAAATTTTTATGTTGTAAATTGAATATTTTTTAACTTGAGTAAATCTTCTCGGATTCATTATTTTCTTGTATTGTATTATGTCTTAATTATTTCGTCGATAGATTTTGAAAAAGTATTTTTTTGTTTAAGCCAGTATTTATTTTATTGTGTATAATGCTTATTATATCAACAAAGTCTGATCCAAAAACGTTANTTGCTTCCAATACTTATACAAGCTTTTCATGAAATAACAAAAATTAAATTTTTTTACACAAAGAGAAATGCCACAATAGCTGCATGTCATGCTATTAAACATTGGAGACGCTCTCGTACTGCAGTATCTGCATGTTCCTTTGGATCCAGCAACACTCATATGTGCTGATAATTGAGCTGATGAAGATTTGTTCCACAACGTTTGTTGGATTTCTTTTTTGCTTTCTCGTAGAAAAGCGGATAGGTTTGCTTCTTCTTTTCCGTGAACTTTGGTCATTAGTTAATGACGTTGAGATAAAAGAAAGGAATTCAACTGCTTCCCTTTCGATTTCGATAGTGTCGTCTTTTTCATCTATTTCAAAGTCGTCTTCGTTTTCGTCCCAAGAATCATTTTTATCATCAAAAGATGACCCCCTTTTATGAATTTCTTTATCATAATCCATTTACTTCTGTTACGGAGACAATGTGTATTATAGTAGCAAATTAGAAAAGAATTCGGTGCTCCGCTCAGGTTGCATACTAATTTTTGGAGATCTGGATTAATTCGAAACGCCGTCTTCAATACTTTTTTAAAAAAATGTTTGAGAACATCCCATAACTTTTCCAATGAATAACTATATATCTTATTGACAGATTGTTTGGGAGGATCCTAGAGCATTCTCTATTATTTTATTCTAATAGACTAAGTACCAATTGTTATTAATTGTTGTTGTGAAAAAGAATTATAAAACATGTGTAGCCTTTTTGCTACTATGGAACTGAAAGGGTTAATACGTAACAGATAAACAAAATTGCTCAACAAACTTACACATATTATATCAAAAATGAAAATCTAATAAAGCATCAGTCAAATACATAAACTTACGATGTTTTTAATGCTTAAGTTTATTTTTACACGTTAGTATATTTTGAAAAGAAAAACGAAGATAGTAATATGATCTTTTTAAGCGAAATGGAATCAAAGGCAAATATGAATCCATTTTTATATTAAAAAGAACGTACTTCAGAGGTTTGTTTTCTCTTCGATATCTTACCTAAATAGCTATTTAGTTAATCTCCAATTCATTATTTCATCCTTGATAAAGAATCATAAGAAAGAAGACGAAAAATATTCATCTCAGTTGATACGATCAAATTCAAAATGGGTTTCTTTGATTTGCATGAACCAGAAGATGGACAAGATCGATTCTTTTTATATGCAATGATTATTCTTCCATTTTGTTCTTCAGGTTCTTATTTATTTGATTCATGGTATCATTATCAACATCATTCAAAAGGACCTAGTTATGAAGGACTTTTATCAACAATAATGATTGTTTTTTCTTATTTACAATATTGTACACCAATACGTTCACGAAAAGCTTTAGCTATTTATTATATATTATTATGTATCATAAAAGAATTAGCAACAATCGGCTATTTATTATATTATATACATGAAAAAGAAATATTTAAAATAATATTTTATAGTTGTTTTTTAATTCTGGATTTATTATTTACAAGTGGTTTAATTTATTGTCGTGTTATGAATGAATATGAATCTCGTATTGTTGTTGAAAACAAACATTTATTTCATTTTATGTCACGTTTAGAAGTTATCTTAACAATATATATACCGGTTTTTATGAAGGTTCAATATACATCATTAACACGTCATATGATTGCATATTTTCTTTTATTTGATTTTTTTTCTGATTCATATTCAAGATTTCAAGGAATATGGATTAAATCAGCATTGTATTTATTTGCAACAACAACAACAATATCTGTTGCAACTGAATGGTTCTATTTTAATCATAAAATAGCATTATATGAAGAAATTTCATATTTATCAGAACTTTTTGCAACTATATTGTGTGATACAATTATTATTTTACAATTTTTTCCATTTCATTTTAAAACTCAACATCTGCAAAACATTGCTCAAGAAGCTTTCCTTTTTCAAAAAAATTTATATTCAACTAATGTTAGCACGAATATTTCAGAAAGTATAGAAAGTGATATAAGGAACGATGAGAACACTACAGTTGAGGCAAAAATTCGTACTGATATGAACACAATTCTTTAATGGTACATTTTTCTTTTTTTCTTCAATATCTACATTTTATTGAAATGAGAAATCGAATAATGAACTGATTTTTAATATAAATATATCGTTTTTAATAAAAGCTATTTTTTTCCTCGTTCTATAAATACATGCGGCGACATCTATGAAAGATATTTTATAACTGTTTTTAAAATTCTTTTTATTATATTATTATATAGAAAATTTGAAACTTTGAAAATCTTTGTTATTTTCGTTTAGGTTTAGGATAATCATGTAATCGGTCAGTTTCTAGACCAATTAATAATATTTTATCATTTCTAATATTCATTATTATATGACTCGTTGCAATTGATCTTATATTTCAATTTATGGCTCCACCGATCACTCAACCGGCAACAACAAATTCAAATTCAACGTCAACTGGTAGTTCAATAGCAACAAATCGTCTTGAACGTGATTCCAAAAAACACGATCGTCGGCAAGTATATTCTCATATGCTTGCTATTTAATGAATTTATTTATTTTAAAGATCTGATCTTGTCTGTCGTGTTCGTTATACAAATGTTCTACCTGATCTTCCATTTGACCCAAAATTTCTTCGATATCCTTTCAGTCAAGACAGGTTTATTATTTTCTGTCATTTTTAAATATTATAAAATATTTTTGTTTTTATTAGATTTGTTCGTTATAAACCAACATCTTTAGAAAAAAACTATCGTTGGGATTTACTTACAGAACATGATGTTGGTGTTGAAATTGATCTTATTAATCCAGATGCATATGCTACGACAAGTATGAATTTGACTTTTTCTCGAACGATAAAGGTAACTGAACTTATTTTTCGTGAATTTTTAGGAAAGATTACAGAGGAAGATGAAAGATTATTAGAAGAAGAAACAGCTAGTCCAGCTAATCTGAAGCGGTATAAACAACATAAATAAAAATTATTTTTAATTCATATTGGATCTTAATTATATTTAGATCATTATTGAATCAACGAAGTGTACCATGGCTTCGTAAAACAGAATATATTTCAACAGAACAAAGTTCAATAAAATCATCTTTGAAACTGGGTGAAGTCAGGTATATACTTCAACTAATTAGAAATAATTCAAATTATAAAAATGCAAGCAATGAATGATAATACATTTCTTATAGATCACACTGAAGAGAAAAAGAATCAGCATTCTACAAATCATAAAGTGTTTCGTCAACCTTTACTGTACGCTTCCCGTTATTGTATGAATATATGAAATTCCACTAAAGTTTCATGATCCTTAGAGACTTTGTATAAAAATCATTCACAGTTTCTCAGTATACCTTTCAAAGGTATGGTCGTCGAATGATTGTACATCTAACTATTCATGCTTTGCCTTTCATCTATCATATAAAAATGGATGTTCACCAATCAAAAATCAATCGATCTGAAACTGTTTCTTCGTTCACCTTTTTATCCTTTATTAGTTTGAACATTTCATCACTGTTTTTAGTCTTCATAGTTTTCTATAGGAACATTCTTCTAGCAGCAATAATGAACACATCACTTATGCCACAACCTAAATTTGTTCTTTGAATCTTTGAGATCTCTAACATTTTTCCGAAAGAAACATAGTATATGCTTGCTCTACAGTTTCCTACGTTCGTATTTTATGAATCATTATTTTTACGGATGTATTCTAGCTTTTGTAATGTTTATTATTTGCAAGTATTTCTGATTACAAATTGTACACTATTTTTCATATAATATTAGTTTGTTCAGTAACCAGATGTTATTGTTGATGCATTCTTTTCATGACGGTTATATGAATTTAGAACTCTACGATATTTGTTCATTTTCTGTTTAATATAGACAGAGCGGATAAAAATAAAGTATAGAAGTCGATATAAGAGTATAAATATAAATGAACAGATTACACATTAAGATAGGCAGATATATACAATAGCTGTCGAAATTATCCAATCACTAAATAATTTTATTTTGTTTTGTGTATATCTTAAAAACTAGTTGAATTAGAATAAATGTACTGTCATTAGATTAAAGTCTATAGTCTCTAGTATCGGAGTAAAAATTTGCAGGTCCATCGGTTGATCTGTGTAGTTTTTATTGACGATACAATTTCACTATGGTGCACACCTATTCCAAATTGAGATTTTCTTTACGATACACGATTCAATAGAGCGAATTCTATTCTACTCACAGAATACTATTAATCGTAGCTTTCTTTTGAGTAAGAACTGAAAGGCAAGGAAATTTTTTTTTGATTTGATGTTTAGCCAACTTAACTGTTGAAAATAGCCTTAGCAAGAATACTTCAAATCGCATGAACTATTCTATTTTAATTGATAGTTCATGTTGGAAAATTGTGTTGGCTATTTCCTATGTATAGAGCAATCACAGATAAACCTTCTTGTACGATCTCATTTACGTATGGAAGGAAATTAAAAAAAAATCGTTCCAACCGCATGGATTTGTAGCAATTCTGAATTCGTACAAAACTCTTCTTTTCAAATCAGAAACATACTGAATATGTATTTTATCGAATAAAGATAGATTGAATGAAACTTAATATAGCGTGTGATACTAAGTTTCATTCTCTATCTACACAGACGTGACGTGCAAGAATCAGCTACGGATTTATTGAGATCTACAGTTAGGCTGATACCAAGTCTATGATAAGCTTTTTACTCCTACTATTCATTACGTAACAGATATATGTAAATTAAATTAAATAATCGGTTTTGTTTTGAAATATAAGAGTTTTGTACGAATGAAGATTTTCTACAAACCTACTCTGTTAAAACAATTTTTTAATATCTTCATCAACACGTGAATGTCGTTGTACAAGATCTTTCTGTGATTGGTCTATACGTAGCAAAACGACTAACACAATTTTCCAACATTAACTATCTATTAAAGTGTAGTATCTCATACGATTTGTAGTATTGTTGCTAATGCTGTGTTGAACAAGCAAGTTGATTAAACATCATATGAAAAAGAAAATATCCTTTGTCACCTTTTTGTCGGTAGTTTCCAGTATGGGCCAAAACAACAGTGCTTAGATAATTTTTAAGGTATGAAAAATGGCATTCTACGATTGTATCGTTAATTAAAGTAACACAGATCAATGGATTGACTTGGAATCTTTTACTAGAATATTAGAGACTATAGAATGTAATTTGATGAAACATAGATTTTGAGATTAGAGAACAGATATAGATGTTGATAGGAAATGTTTGGGCTGCGCGGTATTATATTGAACATCCTACGAAACTGAGAAAGGATTTTTCGAGTTGATTTTAATTTTCAGAAATTTTCTGTCGAATTTATTTTTCTTTGAATGCACCGCAAATTAAAAAAAAGAAATTGAATAAGGACATTCTTGATACTTGAAAATCTTAGGAAGATAGATTTTATTTAATTAAGACTTTCAAAATATTGCTATAGATTTTAGCATAATACTTTGACAAAATCTTAAGTTATAATCTTCATTAAATGATTATATGTTCAGATAACAAACTAAGAAATTCTCTATAAAGTCTCTTGTAAGTCAAAAGATGAAATCCGCACTTAGTTAATACTGCTGGTACCTCTATCATAAAAACTGTTTGATTATTAAAAAAAATCAATCAGATTTTAATAGTAACCGAATGATTTTTCCACTTCAATATCTTTCTTATTAGTCTACATTAATTTCTTTTATATTTAGATCAAGTTCTGTTAAAGAAAAACTTCGTGAAGATTCTCTTAAATATTTAACAAAAGAGCGTCTATTAGAAATTATTGAAGAAGGATTTGAAACTGCTAAAGCTCCTGTAAATATATTTTATAATTATTGTTTTTTTTTTTCTATCTTATTTTTCTATATTTTTAGCTTGAAAAACATTATAGCAAACCAACAGTAGTTAAAGTTGAAGAATGGCCATTATTTCCTGATTTTGATGTATAATTTATATTATAAACGAAATAATGAAATATGTTTTTATTTTTTCATAGAATTGGAAATATCCATTTGCACAAGTTATATTTGATGATGATCCATCACGTAAAGATTCTTCAGTACCAGCTCAAGAACAAATGGACGAAATGTCTGAAGCAGTTATCAAGTAAAAAGAATTAATTTGTTTTTTTTTCTCTTTTTTAGTTATAAATTTTGTTTTTTTTGTTTTTTGATAGAGCCTTAATTGATTCTGATAATAAAGAATATATTGGTTATTTTCTACCAACGGCTGAAACACGAGTAAAACGTGCAAGAGAAGAACCAGATGATCCAGATGAATCATATGATTATAAATTAATACGAGAATATAATTGGAATCGAAAAGATAAAACAATGAGTGGTTTTGAAGAAAATTATTTTTTAAGTGTTAAAGATGATTCTATTGTTTATAATGAACTTGAAACAAGGTGAATAAGAAAAGAAATTTCAAATAAAACAAAAAAAGTAATTTATTTATTTAATTATTTAAGAGTTCGATTAAGTAAACGACGAGCTGCTGGTGGTGGTGCAAAACCAGCTAGTATTCGACTTATTCAACGTTATCGACCATTTCTTGAATCGGAAGAAAAAATTCAGGTTGAATTGACTAAAAAACTAAACAAACTTTTCTTTTTTAATATTTTATTTTTCTAGAGAAAACGATTGAAAGCTCTGGATAATGAAGACGAATTAGAGACTGTTAATGGTAAATAATGCCATTTTTTTTTTGATTGGATTGAATTTTCAATTTGATTCTATTTAGAAGAAGAAAATGATGATGAAATAATAGCTGAACATGACGAAGAAGAGGACCAAGAAGAAGAAGAAGAAGAACAACATGATGAACAACAACATCAAGATGAAGAAAATGGAGAACACGAAGAAGAAGAAGAAGATGATGAAGAACAATCTAATGATTAATACGAATAAAAACAAAAACTTTTATTAATTTCTATTTGATGTATATTGTGTATCCTTGATTAAATGGCGATATTAACTACTTTTTCCTATCGTCTAAAATGAAAAGTTTGCAAGAAAATCAATACTGTCAGAAAAAGTTTTTCATCCCCATCAATATGAAATGATTTGAAAACAAACTTTCAAATCATAAATTTCAAGCTGTAAAAGGACACAACTATAAATTATGGATCTTTCAAAAATTTTTCCGATTTTCTAAATATTTTTATTTTTAATTTTGCATTTGGAGTAGCTCATAATGATGATGCTTACAGAAAAACTGAACTATAATAAACGAAAATTTTTCAATATTTCTTTATATAAATCGAAACTAGATATAGTCATGTCTATGAAATGACTGGCATTTACAATTATGAAAAAAAATATTTCAAAATTTTTTCGAGATTATTTTATTCCGAAGTTCTTCAGGAATATACAAGTGTATTTAGTATTATAAGAATGTTTAATAATAGTGAATCGAAGGATAAGCAAGTACAACAGAGCTCACGGTTCTGACAATCAATAGACTCGAAAACTGAGCCGGAATCGGAACTAGCACCGTGAAGTGAGAGCAAATGCGATCAGAATTGAAAATGTTTTACTGATAGGTGAAAGCTATTGAAGTTCAGTATTATTTGAAATCGAAAAGATCAGTTTATAATCGCACCACAGGTAAGCAGATCATATTTCTGATGATTGAATGGAAGAGAGAAGTCAAAAATATCTCAAAGTTTGATTAAGGCATTTAAAAAATCGACCGTCATCTGAAATCACTTTTTTGGAAAAGGAAGTTAGATATTCCAATGTGCATTTCCATAATCATTATGGCTTTAAATAATGTTCCTGTTGACAGTGAGACTTTTGTCATAAAAATAAACTGTTTTTCATCTAAAAAAAGTCGTATTTTTTTATATCTGTTGTTTGAGGATGTGTCTTCGGTAGTATATTCTATTACATTAAGAAATCAGATCGAATTTCTTTCATCGTCCAAAACAAAGCTTTTCCATAAAATTTCTCAGCTTTCTTGAGAATTTTTAGCATAATGTATGTCTCCAAACTAACGAAAAAAGGGTGATGCCATTAGACATGAGATAGACAACAAAAATAAATTTTATCAATATACAAAAATTGCCTCAACTCCCACGAAAAATGAGATTGAAAGCTGAAAATTCTTTTTATGTGTAACTAAGCACCCTTATATTGACACAAAGCTTCGTTGGAAATGTAATTCTGTACCTATGAAAAGATTATGCAGCTGATTCACTGTCATCATTTTCTCATTCCTTTTCTTAGATTTTGTCTTTCGAGGAAACTGCGTTTTCGAAAGTACTTGGCATTAATTACCTCGAAAACTAAAAAAATGATATTATAGTCCATTTCATAGTTAAATGGCGGTGGCCATTTTTTGAATAACTTTCGATCTTTTTGTACGATTGTATCAAAACCAAAGACACTTTTTTCCTACCGATCATACATCTATACCTTGTTGTTACGTTTTTCCAATGAATTTTCTAGATATTTTAACTCCAAGTTACACCAACTTGTAGCCAAAATCTCGCTGTATACGTAGCAAAAATTCGATATCTTCGTGCCAAATTTTCTATCTCTTTTTTTCCAATAAGATCACTTTGCTGCATGATAATTTTATCGTGCATATAGCGGGATTTGGGCTACAACTTGGTGTAGTTTGAAGTTAAAATATCGAGAAAATTCATTGAAAAAATGCAACAACAAGGTATAGATGTATGATCGGTAGAAAAAAGTGTCTTTGGTCTTGACACAATCGTACAAAAAGATGCTTCGGAGTTTCCTCTTTCCAATGACGAAACTACGAGCTCGATAGCCTTTACAGATCGAAAGTTATTCAAAAAATGGCCACGGCCATTTAACTCTGAAATGGACTATAGTGATCTGGTAAATTATTATTAGATCATCGATGCCACAAGCACTTTTTAAGTACAGAAATTGGAACCACCTTTTTTGTTTTTACTCACCAAAACCATCGACCTCTGAATAGTACCATTCTCATTTGAAACATATCCATCCAAGTTTATGCTCATCAAAGAATATAGTACAATGTAATCTGTATTTCTCCATAGATGTAAGGTGTCATCAGTCGAGATTTACACGCGAACTTTTGGTGCCAGCTGTAGAATCGAACTTTTCTCAGAAAAAGAAAGAACAAAGAAAAGCTCAATTGCTATTTTTGAAGAAAAATGTTTTCTCCGTGGAACATGACTGCTCTGGAAACTTTATGGTTATTGGTGTGGACGTTTGAGTGTGATTCGAATAGGATTGGTCCCGGTCGCAAAGTTTGTGCTCTTTTGTGTCTGGCTACAAAAAACATACAGGAATCACAATAATCTTACTTTGAAGGAAAGAGATTTCTCTGAAAAACAGAATAGTCGAGTGTTTGCTTTTGCTTTCTCTTTCCATAAGATATGTCTGATTTTTCAACCAGGACCAGAAAGCTTCGTGCTCATATCTAATCGTCAGAGACGCTCGTCGACTCATTGACTTGTCTACGACAAATAAACATTACATAATTATCATTAATGACAAAAACCTCTGTAGTCACTCAATTCAATGCTGTTAAATAGAGTTAAGCAGTTTTAAAAAAGAGATAGACGAAACTAGTGATAAATTTCCAGTATTCGGTGTATGATATTTATTAGTAGAATTCGATTCTATAATATCTGACAGAGATAATTGAACCAGAGAGTACTAAGAAATAGATCTTGAGCTCACTAATAATCAAGAAAATGCATTATATTGGTTCTTATTCACTGAAAACGTCATATTAAAGTAACATCCTATTGACTATTATTTTTCTCTAGTTCTGAGCTCTTGAAGAAAAAAGTCTCGAAAAGAACACCTAATTTAATAAACAGAAGAACTGCTAATAATTAGAAGTCCTCTTTCTGTTAAACAATCGCACGTCCATGGAACACATGGAGAAGTTGCCATGTACATAAACAACAATTGAAAAAACATTATAAGCTAGACGTAAAGAATCAATGAATATCGACTAAAGTTCATTGTCATAATAGCAACGTGTCATAAAGAGAAAAAGGTATACGAAATTATCGTTATAAGTTCTTGATAGAAGTAGACTTGTCTGTTCTAGTTTTGCTAAATAAAAAATTTTGTTAATATTGTTACAAACTTTAGATAAAGAAGTCTAAATGAATGTAGTAGATATCTGTATGTTTGAAGCGTAGTTTAAATTTTAATATTGTTTTCAAACTCTAATCATTGATCATATGCATAGATAATCATAATCATAAAGAATCTTTCTTACTTTCAATCTTAATCTAGTTTTAGAACAATTTTTTCAAATAGGATTTAGTTTAAAGAAAAAATGACGCCTGTCTAACATATTCTTAACGATTTTATTCAATCTCAAGGATTGTAGAAATCATCAAACTCTATAAGAGTACAGAGAAATCAACCAAATTCTACCGAAATACGTAAAAACTCTTTAGTAATTCATAAAAATTTGACAAAAACCAATCAAATTCATTAGAAATTGTAGCTTGATAAATGAAAAGATGCCTTAGAAAAAAGTTCTCATAGTTATCAAATGTTCTCGTTGTTATCTAATTATAACTCTCAATTTCAGTCTTTTCTATGTTAAACTCTTTAGAACAAATGTAATTACTTTCTGATGCTCAGAGAATGACTCTAGATTCTCCGAAGAGAAAAAGTTGATTCTCAATTTTAACAGACATCAATTGATTTTCATTCATATCACTGCATTCATGACCTAATCTAATAGGATTTACTAAGTTGCTAGCAATCGAAGTCAGCTATTTTCTGCTTAAAGGCAACAATAGAATTTATCGAATCAGTATAAAATTACTAATTGAATGAGCTGATCTATTCCATGAAAACCAATAAAGAAAGACTTTATACAAGTCAAAATAAATGCCATGTAAATTAAATTAAGGCTTAAAAAATACTTTCCATCTTATTCGAAGTTCTATCCAGTATGAAACTGCTAGCAATTATGAATGAATATGTAAAAATTTTATCGAAAACAACATGAAATCAAGAGTATTCTTAAAATTATGAAATTGAGTAATTTTACATTGAACAGTTCCAATGCAATATTCTGATAAAAAAAAATCTTGAAAACAGTATATGAGTACATTATATAGTTCAATATGAGAATGAAAAGTACGTTATAACATCTGACACTATATATTCTTTTTCTTGGTATTGTGAAAGTAAGAAAATAATCATTAGCTCTTGACTTTGAGCTTTTTTGCATAAGATGATCCAACAAATTGTAATATATATCGTGCTAAACAATAATGCTAATTGTCTAATTCTTCCAACAGTATAGCAAAATTTTTGTAAAACTATATAATCAGAAATTCAAAATGCAAATTTTAATTTTGATTTGACAAAGAATCAATATGACAAAAACTATATTTAGTATATAATTGACATCTATGCAACAAATAGTTAAGATGTATTCATGCTTCAATGAGAAATACAATAAAATAATTGTGTTTTAGATAATTATTCAGTTTCAATTTGCTATAAAATAAATCATACAGTCCTCAAATTTGTTTTTTTTTTTGAAAAACACACATTGTATTTAACAATGATGATCGTTTGTCATAACATATATATTAATATAAGATCAGCTAGTCAAATTTCTGAAGCTCAAGTACAATATCACTTGAAGTGTTTGCTAGCTCCATTGATAATTTAGGAATATTACACGTCACTTATGAGAGAATGTTCCTAGTTGTTTGACACCGATGGAGATCGTAGGTTGTTCATATGCAGGGCGCGGAGGTCCTAGAGGAAGACCAAAAGGATTCACGTCGTTTGCTTGCCGCTCTCAAGCTATGACTTTTTGAATGAAATTTGAATCGCAGACAAGCTATATGATAAAAGTTCGGATGATCACGGTTTTTCTTAAAATATTGTCTGTGAGTAGATCTCACTTTTGTTAAATTGTTTTGAATGTTTTTATTTGAAAAACGTGATTCCTTCTTGAGATATTGAATCATGAGGAAACTTCCATATTTCATAGGCAAAGACCAGAACCACATCTTCTATCATCATTCAATAGTTTGATAAGGAGTCGTGTTTTTTTAAATAGAATTTTTCGGGCAGTCGAACAAAAGTAAGATGTACTCATGTACTATATTTCAAGTTAAATCGATGTCAATCGAGCTTTTACCGGATAGCTTGTGTGAAATTGAAATTTCAGTAAAACAGTGATAATTCTGGAAGGACAAAGTGTGGATGCAAATCCTTTTAGTCTATTACTAGTCTCGCCGAGCTCTACATATGAATAAACTACGAGCTTAATCGTCGTATAATACTTGAGAAAGTTCTCTTATTAGAAGATAAATGCATTGTGTTACTTTTAATATTAAAATAAATCCAGCGTTCTTTGACTATTTTATGGGTTTGATGTATTAATTTATTTTGCTTTGTTTGGCACACATCTTTCCAGTCGACTTTATATTAATGTATAGACAACAACCGTTTAGTTCAGAATTTTGTCAAAGGAACGTATACTAAATGCCTAATATAGAAGCTTTTTGAAAATACATTTACTAAATAGTTTGGAAAAATATCGAAGTTTATTTTTTTGATGTTATAGTGCATTTTATAAGATGAAAAGAATCATTTTTTTCTATTTGAATTTCATTAAACATGCGATCACACATATAGAATTATAAAAATGCAATGCTCTTTTCATTTGCTTGGAGATGAAAGATTTCATGGATGAAAATATGTAATTTTCTAAACACAGAGCTGGGTGAGTACTTTCCTCGGGTACTTCCGTATTCATTCAAGTGAAGTGTCTGAATAAAGACACATTAAAAAGTAACTTGTATGTATCATACAATTTTCTTTAGGCTACAAAATAGCGTTAACACTTATGCTGTTCGATCATTTCTGGTCAAGATATATTACGTGTAACACAAAAGTACTTGCCGAGTACTTTTTTTTTAGGTACTTTTTCAAGTACTTTCGTGTTACGCTGACTCTACTTTTGTAAAAACTAATTAGAGAGCAAAGAAGTTAATGTAATTTTGTAGGCTGAAGAAAACTGTATCGAATCTGAAAGTTTTATTGTAATCTATCATTATTTTGATTTTTTCTTCGATGAAAGTTAAAGTACCCGAGAAAAATACTCACGTAGTTTTGTGTAAACATGATATCTATTCAAAACTTATATGACTACATGCTTATGATTTGAAAAACAATCAAGGTTTCTCTGAAAATGCTTTTCATTAATTACATTCTTGTATGTCTTATAAATTCAAACACTAACGTATACATAAAACTCTATGTTTCACTTATCACAAAAGCTAAAGATTAATTGTCTGATATTGAAATCAGATCATGCAGAAGTATCTTTAAAAAAATTACGTTATTCTGTATCAATTAAAGCATAATGCGTTGTATTGTGTTTTTTTTCCTCTTATTTCTAATTAGTTTTGCCGTTTAAGTCTTTACAAACCCAATAACAAATAGTACAAGATTACTTTTGTTACCGTGACGAATAGATGAAATAAAAAACAAAGATGCAGAAATTGTGAACATGAAAATAGAGATGAATGTATACAAGTTTTATGGAATCATGATAGTATTGTTCTATAAAAGGGTGCAAAATGACAACGACAGAAAATACGTAATAGTATTGATACAAGTATGTCAAAACGATTATATCACTAGCCTGCACAAATCATGACTACGATCGTTGAACAGAGCCGAAAGGACATCTCTTTGAAAAATATCGAGAACTTTGTGGGTAGCTTATTCCAGTGTCATCTGAAACAATACCATAATATTTTCTGTATGGTTTGTCCACAGTTGAATGAAAAACTCGATAGAAAAAAGATCAACACTATCCGATAGAATGAACACTATTAAGTAATGAAAATCTTTACAATAATCAGTTCGAGCTGGTTTTAACAGAGCTCATGTGTATACCGTTCAAAAATTTGCTCAACATTCAAAAACAAGAGATAATAGAATTTCTTTTCAACATGTTGTTATATAGACTTTAGTTGTTAGAGATTTTTCCATTGAATGCATTAGCTGATTAAAAAACTGAAGCGACATTATTTCACGAATTTTTATATAGTGCGTTTATTCATTCTCTTATTGCCCCAAGGAAAAAACCTGTAAATTGAAATGTAACAGGTCTTATTTTTTCAATAATATAATGGATATATTTTTTCGTAAACTAACAATACATCAAGAGACATCCATTGAATATTGATTATTCTTCGAATTCTCAAAAGGCAAACTATTATTTTTTTGTATGACATAGAAAATCATTTTATTTGAAACTAATTAAACTTTCGTAACTTTTGTTTGATTCTGATTCAAAAGTGAAAGTAAACGTTTTTCATTATTGTTTTTATTTTTCATTCTTATTGATTTAGGCGAATTTTGATTATTTTGACAAGAAATAAATTGAATAAAATGCTTTCGAAATAATGTTGATATCATAAGATGAATATAAAATTTAGTTGAATAATGAATTGATGAAAGTATTGAAAAACAATTGAATAAAATTTTATAAACTTTCATTCGCGTGAAGCAATGCATACCATCATAGAAAAATTGATCATAAAGAAGAAATATTTCGATAATAAATGCGGGTAATAAAGATAAAAAGAACCAAAGTGAAAGAAAACATCTAAATATTGAATTTTTTTGCATCTGGCGAGCAATTGAACTTAAATTTTGTTTATGTTTTCGTTTATGATGACGTCGATTATTAAATAAAATGATTGAGGATATACATACAATCAATGATGGAATAGACACAAAAAAAATGGCATGTATTAATGATAATAAATGAATTCGTTCATGATTATTAGATGAAGAAAAATCACACAGAAATAGTGTAGCTTTTGCGTCGTAATGTAAATAAAAATGATAAGGGATTAGAAGTAAAATAACTATTAAACAAATCAATATAAGACGAAATATGACACGAGGTCGTGTGACTATTGAACGATAACGAATTGAACAAATAATCATTATACTTCTATCAATAAACAGTGATGCTAAATAAAGATTCGACAATGTTGTTGAACCGAGAAGAATGCAATAGAAGATTCCACACGATAATACTTCTCGAGGATCATTTTTAATAAGTGACATATTTGCTGACCATAACCAAAATATACCTGTTAGAGTAAAAATATTTTAATTGTTTAAAATAGACTAAACAAGAAAGCTATATTTTATATTAATATTTATGATTTTTTTTCCTACTAGAGAAACTATTTTTTTTTTTTCGTTGATTGATTATTTGACTTGATATGTGCATAATGTATATATAAAATGTTCATCTACTTGAGAAACTTGTCTAATAAAAATACTTATTCATATTGATGTAAATTGATGTTTATTGATTAGTTTTAGACAGTTTTTTATTTAAACTATATCATACGTATGCAATAAAATGAAAAAAAGAAAATTATAATCTATTGAACAGAATTTATGTAATTTTCCTGTTTCGTCTTAAAACAATTCATTCGTACTATTATTTTTTTTAAAATAAAAATATAAAATTCATACAAACCTATGAGAAAGATTAATTCACAAATTGAAATAGCAATAAAGTGCAATGAAGTAGGTGCTTTTCGATTAGTTTTATTTGATAAAATAACTATATGAAGGACATGACCTGGCACACCAATGATTACACAAATAAAATTAATTATATCACGAATAATATCAGATGTATGAAAAGATTCATAATAAGTAAAGCTAATAGCACAAATATCTAATGTTGTATTATTATGATTCATTATTATTTTATATAATAATATTTCTTGATTATTATATATTTATAGATATATATGACAATAAAATTTAACAGAAACTCCTACGTGTTTGCTTTTGTCAATCTAGGAAAGTTAAAATAGTAAAGCAAAAAGAATGAATAGAATAATACTGTTTTGATACTGTGTATGCTGTTCATGACAAAGGATGTTTATACGAACCCTTTATAGATAATAACATATAGAGAAAGAAATAAGAATTATCCGTCTGTTTCTGTTTGAGTTAGGCGACTCACTGAATCGACGGAAAGAATGGTGAAAGAGATATTTCTATTTTCTTCATAACGAAGAATACTTAGTAGATACGTGTCCACTGACTCATGGTTCTCTTTTTATCTAAATAAAAAATCTTATTCTATTAACTCATGCTTACGTAAACATTAGCAAATAGTTTTGTTGTTGAAAATTATATTTGAAGTAATTATTAGTTCAAAACAAGTAATGCAGATTGATTGTATTCTAAGCTACTATCTGTATTAATTGAAATTTTTTTGATGTGGTGCGCGAAGCATAGCACTTATATAGTCCTTCACGAGATTTTTTTTCTTTTTCTATACGGTGCAAAACTCTGTTGAGTAGTTAGCCCTGAGTTCTTAATTTGTCGGCACATAACTTGAAATTACTATTTTTTATCGCGAGGATCTAAAGATCAGAAAGTCTTCCGTTTCTCGTTCAAGCGCTATTACAATACTCCATGCTTCTATATGATTGTTTTTCTTTTCGAAACTTCGATACACAGTTTCGTTAGTTCTCAATTAGCTCCAGAAAATGACGATCTTGAAACGGAAAATGTTCTTCCTTTTCAGACAATGCAAAACATGAGAATAGTGACTACAAGATAATTAGATGACATTCGAATTTTCAGAATACTACGAAATGCAGTGCGAATGTTGGTTGTCAAAAAAATCGGCGTATCATAAAAAAATGAATAATGGTTTTTAGTGTTTTTCATAAATCGCTTTTTTCTTCAGGATACTTTTGTTTCATTATTGGTTAGTCGTTTGATTTTCTCTCTGATTCTTCATCTATCAGCAGCTGTTCAGGACGAAGAATGCTGGATTAAGATCACACCGGATGCTTTGAAGATATCCCAAACAATTCGATAACATCTGACGAAAATTTCACAAATTTCAATAGGATTCTATCAGATTCCTTGGCACTGAATTGCGACTGACAACTGTTGGATTTGGTGGAATCATTTTGAATAATTAGCTGACGATTAATACTGCACAATGAATTTATTTTTATTCACTATTATAGTCAACTGTAGCATAACAAATCTAAATAAACAAAAAGGAAACAAAGATAATTAAATTGTTTTAACCTTCAACGACATACGTATTTTAAACATATTAAATCTCAAAATATATTATAGCACAAATAAAATTTCTGTTTTAACTTAGGTATGTGTACGTAGTTACCCAATTCAAAATCTAAGTAAAGAACAAAAAAAGTAAAATCTAGTATTTTCTTTCTCTTAGCATCATATTAGATTTTTGATAAATAAATCTAAATAAAAAATACGAAAAAATCATTTTATTTTCTACATATCGTAAAAATAAAATATTAATCGTTCAGGACAAGATTCTTTTTTTCGAAGCTAAACAATGAAATACGGAATTAGTTAAAATTGATTCATTTTCATTGCTAATTAGTGCGATTGACCTTTCAAAGATCGATACAGTCTATATATGTGTCACTTATATCAAATCATAGAGCATTGCCAGTTAGATCAATGATAAGTAGTACGGACCAATAAATCTGAACTGTTCAGGAACGGAAAATGCATATATGCGTCACTCGTCCTAAAAGGGTTATATTATAAAGTCAAAAGTAGATTGAAAAACAATATAAAAACTATTTTATTTCAGTTCATCACAATATTTGTTATGGAACAACTCATCTAAATAAAAAGTTAACAGATAACATATAAACTTATTAGAGAATTGACCCTTGTATTATCGATTTAAATGACGCATATAAAACGATTGAAAATATTTTATTTGAACTTACTAATTCACTAAATTAAAATTCGAATAATAAATATCAATAAGAGAGAAAGGAATGAATAAAAATGAACAAAATGAATGTATCTTTCTATATCAAATGAACATATTGTCTAACTCGACTAGTCTGAAGAGACTTTCATGTTATCGCATTATTTTAACCAGGTGTTAATTTACTTCAACAAAACTTAATGTTCTTTATTCTGTCAGATAAGATATACTTTTTATCTTAGATGAAAACAGCTTCGCTTCATCATAACAAGTGTTACAAATATATTTCAAATCCTGACATTTGATACCATTGAATTCGACAAGTGTTTAGTGCCGGATATCATCAGATCCGATGGGATAGCTCAGGGATTCAGTGTGAATCCAACCGAGTGAGTTCACCCTGAGTGTATTCACAAGTGTCTTAGCTGCGAACAGAGAAATTGGTGACTAAGTTTTGTTGCTATTGCCATTTTGATCTTTTTCTAAGCTTAACTAAAAATTATGTTCACAAAAATTTATCTTTTTTTTGGGGCACCATTCGTAAACAACTGGAACGTCTTCATCGGTTAGATATTGATATTCTCAACATGTATTTCAACGAGTATTTTCTCAATTTTCATTCCCAACATTGTTGTGACACAAAATAACAACTTTCGATGTGTACATTGAGACAGTAAATTAAATGGAATTCAACTTTCACTAGACTGTGAAATGCGATGCGACGCTAGGAATATTGACTATCAAAAAGAATCGGTATATCACAAAAGAACGATTCGTTTTAGACATAAGCAAAGAGAGAGACAGCTAACTATTATTGATATGATCGTTTTAAAAATTTCCAAAGGGAAAAACCAACTAAGTCGTAAAAAACTTATCTTTTTGAGGCACTATGTATGAACGAACGGAAAGCCTCAGAAAAATTACAAAAAAACGATGTTCGTTCGATGCGGATACTTCAACCTCACATTTGAATGAGTATTATCTGAGTTTTCATTCTCGACATTATCGCGACGCATTATGACAACTTTGGTCAGTGCGTCGAGAAAGTAAAAATAAAGTAAAAGCACTCATGGTAAAACTAATTTCTAGGAGCGCTCTATCAACGAATTTCAACAGGTTTCTAGAGGATGTTGTCGATGCATCATCTAATTACCCACATAATTTATTATCTATTATCAGCTGTTCAAACAGCTCTAATGAATAAAATCAGTTTAGCGAGTAGACCAGCAACTACTTTTTATGCTCTATTCATTTCATTTATCTTGAAAGGTGAAAAACAACAAAGTTTTCGAAAATTTGTCTTTTCGGAAAACTACTTATAACTGAATGAAAAGTTCTGTGCAAGGACAGGAAAACTTGGTATTGATTTAATCTCAATACTTTGATGCCAGGTTGAAACGACAAGTTTCTCAATTTCCGTTCTCGAGATGATCGTGATACCAAATGACAATTTGGATGCGTGCGTTGAGAAGATAAAATAGAGAAAAAAACAACTCGAGAAAGACCAAATAAGAGCTATGCTTTGCACTGCATCAAATGTTTTTTTATAAGAAATCAATTCTTTCTATATCTCAACATTCAAATCTTTACAGCACATTTCGCAATTGAGTGAAATTCGAATACTATCTAATTATAACTGTCTATTTCATTCTTTTATATATAGAACTCCTTAGAAGATACGTAATTACTTTCTGACGTTTACAGAAATGAATTTAAGTTCTCAATTCTTGCAGATTCTAATTGATTTTCATTCATGTCACGACATTCATGACTTACTACAATAGAGTTTACTAGGCTTCTAGTACTCAAAGTCAGCCATTTTATATCTAACGAAAACAATAGAATTTATCATNATGAAAGTTTGGATCATATATCATGTTGTAGAGCAAATTCTGCTCTACAACCTGATATATGAACCAAAGTTACAAAATTGAGTTTCGAATTGAAACAGTGAAAAATACAAAAATGTACAAAAACTATTTTTGTTCAAACTATCTTTTAAAGCAATTCAATGATTCCCACACTATTTCCAAACAAAAATAGATACAGAATTTCTAAACTCATATTTGGAAAGAGTATTAAATTCTGATCCTTATCCATCTTTTCGCATTCATCTAGAATACTTGCGAGGTGATGAAAAATGGACAAACATTTTGTCTCAAAACTTTCGATTCACCCGTTAGTACCGATCGCATTATTATCATGTTCAAACTTGTATACCAATAATCATATAATTCTTGGAACTGTTTTATTTCATAGAGAAAACTCTAACAGCAAAGAGTAATACTTATAATTAAATATGGAAAAAGAACATACCAGAATCACTTGGTTGTTCTGATAATCCAATAAAATAATTTGTATTTGATGAAACTAAATTATTTATTTGAGACAATGTTAAACTTGAATATAATTTAGTTGTTGATAATGTTAATAATTGAGCAGTAAATGATTTACAATAGGTAATTGCATCTGACCAATTTAAATTAAATGTTGATACAAAAATACATTTTCCATTTACTATAGACCATCCACTTGGACAACGACCTAAAATATAGACAATAATATTCTTTTTTAATTGTGAATTGTAAACTTCAACATACGACATCCTGTTTCATTACGTGACCAATAAGAATCAGTCGATGGACATAAACAAATAGATTTTGTGCTACAAACAAGTCCATGAGCTGGATTACATGATAATGCTTTACATGATTGACCATAAGTTTTATAAGGAGCTAAATAATCAAAAAAGTTTTTTTTTTTATGCATGAAATATATTTTTTCAGCTGATGTTAACTTACAAAGAGGTCCAATGATGAAAATAAGTAAGAGTATAAGTACAATTGTTATTAGAATAATAGTTATATTCAATGTTAATAATAATTGCCATAAGCGACAAACCCAGAAACCTTTTTCATGTGCATCAGATATATCTTTTTCCAACAAAAGACGTCGCTCTGCTTCTGTTTGTCGACTATTAACCGATGGCACTGTTGTTGGTGATTGACAATTGGACATTGCAACTGCTGTTGGTGGTCGCTATTACATAATCAGAATAAATTCAATATCGTACAAATTTTTTTCTTCACATACTTCATAACGAGCCATACGAGAACTTTTATTAATCTCATCAGTTGTAATTGATGAGGGTAATGGTGATGTCGAAAATTCTCGAAATTCATGTTCCATCCTATTTTACTTTTAATGCCAATGTTTTCACTCTTCTGTTTTTTTTCGGAATAGAGACGAAATTCATACAAGTGCTTTCATACAGGTTGTTTTTTTTTCATTCACTTCTTTATATTCAGTCAATACAATCTATGCCTAGAAAAACATTCTTTTCATTATTATTCCATATAATTAAATAAAAAAAAAAACTGAGCGGATCAACAAAAGGGACATTAAGGACGAAAGTAGTATTATATTCATAACAAAAAAAATATTAAATGAAATATGATATTTGTCATAATTAAATACAACAGAAATAATCATAAAGGATTAAGAATGATATATATATATATATATAATTGTTGGCAATATCAACGTTGATGTACAGATGATACTGGTAAGTTTTCGACTGTTTTAGCAAATGTAATGGTCATTAGAATTTACTTTAGATGAAGTACACATTTATTTTACTTACGCTTGCAATTGGTTTAATTCAAGCTAGATTGAGAGTAGATAGAGAATGGTCAGGAGGGTTTCAAGGAGCCATAGAAATTCCAATTGTAAATCAAATCAATAATGGATGGGAGCTCGAAATTCAATTTGATCGATCGGTAACCATTGATGTATGTACAAATGAAATCATTCTGTATCTTTTTGTTTTTAAGAACTAATAATTCTGTTTTTTTTTAACATTGATTTTTAGGCATGGCTAGGTGATCTTCGACAAAACACCAACAATCAAGTCTTTATATATGGTAATAAAGAATGGAATGCACAATTAGCACATGGTTCAGTATTTCATTTTGAATTCGTTGCTAATGGTGGTGCTGTACCAAGTAGTATCATAACTGTTTTATTCAATGGAGAATCAGTCAATATTGATTCCAATACTATTATTCTACCTGAATCAACAATAAACCCAACAGGAAGTACACCAACATTTGAGCCAGAAAGTTCATCAACAACACCAATTATATCAATAGTGAATGGCAAATATAATTATGGAGCTGTTCTTCATGCTTCACTTCTCTTTTATGAAGCTCAACGAGCTGGTAAACTTCCAGCTAACAATCGTATTAGTTGGCGAAGTGATTCTATGTTAATGGATAAAGGAGAAAAAGGAGAAGATTTAACTGGTGGTTACTTTGATGCTGGTGATTATGTTAAATTTGGTTTCCCTATGGCTGCATTTACAACATTATTAGCATGGGGTGTCATTGATTATAAAGATGCATATGTCGAATCAGGTGAATTCGATCAAGTCCTTCAAGCAATTCGTTGGTCAACTGATTATTTTATTAAGGTTAGCTTTATCAATCCATTGTCTTTTAGCACGAATCTTTCAAGGAAAAGTCTATCAATGTATAGATTTGCATGAATTTCAAAATATCACATTGTATTTGATTGAGAATAAAAATATCAAAAATAATTACTTTTTTTGGATCAATCAAGTAAACCATATTGATTGATGTTTGAAACATATTCCATTCGAAAATGAAATATGACACCAAAACTATATAAAATATTGTTGTTTTTTTTTCTTTAATAGGCACATGTAAGCGAACGTGAATTTTATGGACAAGTGGGTGATGGATATGCAGATCATGCATCATGGTCACGACCAGAAGATTGGACAATGTCTCGATCTGCATGGAAAGTAACTGCAGAGAAGCCTGGTTCTGATTTAGTAGGTGAAACAGCTGCTGCTCTTGCTGCTGCTTCAATTATTTTCCGTTCGATTGATTCTAAATATCAATCAGTATTATTAACGCATGCTCGACAACTATATGATTTTGCTAATGAAAATCGTGGCAAATATTCAGATTCAATTTCAAATGCAGCTGATTTCTATAGATCATGGTCTGATTATGGCGATGAATTAGCATGGGCTGCTGCTTGGCTGTTACGAGCAACTGGTGAACAACGTTATGAAACAGATGTTGAGAAACATTTTAAAGAATTTGGTCTAGATAAACGATCAAATGAATTTGCTTGGGATGATAAAACAGCAGGTGTTCAAGTACTTATGGCTAAAATTACACAGCAAGCTAATTATCGTCAACAAGCTGAATTATTTTGTAATTATATTGTACGACAAGCTCCGAAAACACCAAAAGGTCTTGTATTTCTTAGTCAATGGGGAGCACTTCGACATGCTGGAAATGTGGCTTTTCTTTGTTTACAAGTATGCTATAGATCATTTCAAAAGATTAATGACATATTACTATTTTTTAATCTTTAATAGGCTGCTGATATTGATATTAATACTCAAGAATATTTAAATTTTGCTGCTCGACAAATCAATTATATGTTAGGTGATTCAGGTCGATCATATGTTATTGGTTTCGGTCAAAATTATCCTCAACGACCTCATCATCGATCAAGGTAATGCAAAAATTTTTTTATTATTCATCATTAATAAACGTTGACTTTCATTTCTCTAGTTCATGTCCATCTCGACCAGCAGTATGTGATTGGAATGCTTATAATAGTCCTCAAGCCAATCCTCAATTGTTAATCGGTGCTTTGGTTGGTGGACCTGATCAAAATGATAATTATGAAGATCGTCGTGATGATTATATTAAAAATGAAGTTGCTACGGATTATAATGCTGGTTTTCAATCAGCTGTTGCTGGGTTACTTCATTATCAACTTAAATAGTGTGCATGTGAGAGAAAGAGAAACATTCGAAATTTCTCATGATAAATAAAATAAAACAAAAAAAAAAAAAAAGAAGAAAAATCAATGTGCCGACTTGTAATCAAGACAGACACGCATAACCTTTTACTCATTGTTATTGCCTAAGCCACGTTTTTTTTCTTTCACTCATTTTATCGTTTTTCTATTGATTCAAGATTTATCTTATTTTCTGATTCTGTTTGCCCATTTGATATTGAAAAGGATTTCTTTGTTCTACTTTACACATAATAATGTCATCGGATCTTGTTCATCGTTTACGAACATGGTCATCAAAACAAATATTTATAGTTTTTGCTGCTTTTCTTGTTTATGTTCTTGCTGATGGTACAACATTCTCATTTGGGCTTTATGTTGATGAGCTTATCGATGAATATTCTAAATCACAAAAAAACACTTTTTTAATTATAAGTATTTTAGCTGCACTTACACAATCAATACCTCTTCTGTTAAGTCCACTTGTATGTTGGTGGACAACAAAGTTTGGTGCTAGTTTGACATTATTCATTGGTTGTTTTGTTTCAGCTAGTGGATATATTCTTCCATTTGTTTTACATTATTATAAAACATATTGGATACCGGCTATTGGTTATGGATGTTTATTAAGTGTCGGACTTACATTTTGTTATGTTCCAGCTTATTTAACTTTACCATTTTATTTTGAAGATGATCGAGGTTTGGCTACTGGATTAGCTGTATCAGGAAGTGGAGTTGGTCAAGTAGCATTAGCAATTATTGTTAAAGCATGTTTTATTGAATATGAATGGCGTGGTGCATCACTGATTACAGGTAGGAAAAAAATCAAATTTTATCATAATAAGAGTTATTATTACTATTGTCAAAATATGTCATTTATTTTGTATTTTACTTTGTATCATGAGATTTGATTGAAATGTCAATCGCTTCGTTTTTTGATATTCTATTGAAAACATGAACTTTATCTCTTATTCACTGTAAATTAATTTAAAAATTTTTTTACATGGATAAAATTTCTAATTCTCTTTTTCATTCAAAAAAATGAAGTAAATTTTCGTTACGTATCATAGAATCTCAGTAGACCCACTTGACAGTTTTTTATCTATTACTAGATTAACATTTATTCTTTTGATTCATTTCTTCTCGGTAATCTCTAGTTCTTATTAGGCACATAATATCTTTACTAGATATCATGAATAGATCTAACAAGAGAAAAAAATACAGCTGTGGATTTACATGGATGCTATAGTACCAATTGTGTTATAGGCATAATTTTTCATCTTACGAAAGCTGCCATCTTTTGTTTTCTAATTATTTCTCTAAATAGATTCTTTATGATTTGTATATTCATTATGAATTGTAATTAATAATACATGTGTTCCTTATATAATGTGAAATTTATGATTGTTCTTTTTATCAAAATCAGATCATATCGTTTTTGTCGATTTGTTCGAATCATGTTAATTTGTTAAAGCGTTTACAAAAATATAAGAGAAACTAACAAATGGTAATTTGTTAAAGATGTAAAGAAAAGAACTAGAAAAGATTTCAGACTTCATCAAAGGAAATCAAATAAGAACAACTTCATTATTGCTTATCTATAAAAAATTGTCTGTAGAGGTTAGTGGACAAAAGTTTCCGTTACAACCAATCACGGTTACTGTATGTGGTCGAGGTATGAAAATTTGTGTACATGCACTTCATCAAGAATTTAAGTCATTGAAATTGCGGCGTCATTTTCGTTTGATTACAAAGATAATTATGATGAATGGCACTTATTTTTTGCTTTGAATATTATAATCTGAATAGGATTGCATATAAAATTGTGTGGTGTTTCTTATTAAAACATATAACTAATTCTTGATATGTATAGATGCAGCTGAAGTCCCATCTACGGTCTTTCTAATCCCAAAAGAGAAGTTAATTTGCTCGAATATTAATGTTTCTGAGTTCTTGAAACTAACAAAATTATCATTTATGTTCCATTTCTCTTTAGTATAAGATTGGTTTCTGAAATGTGCAAGTAATAATGTCTAACTGTAGAGGAAGCTTTTCAAAAAGAGTTTCAATTCATTTCATTGAACTATCACTAAGTTATTGACCTTCAAAGAGCAGCAGATGCTTTCTCTTCACAATAATGGCCATAGCAATGATTTTTTTTTCAGTTTTACTGCAATGCTGTTATGTAAACAGTTTCAGACAATCTTATTTTTGATATTTCATGTCTTTATGTTGCGTCTATGAAAACTGGCGCACAAATCTTGATAAAAAGAGTATTTAGCAGTCAATAGTAGATAAATAATTAATTTAAATAAAAACAAAAGTATCAATTTTTTTGTAATTTTCTGTGGTTGAGTTCACGCGCACCCTATGACAGCAATGAAGTTCCAAAATGAAAACATGAGCATAGGGTTCATAAATTAGTGGAATATTTCACAATGATATCTTTATTTAATGTGATATTTTAGATTCATCTTCTAAAATGTTTACTTCCTTTTCTAGGTGGTCTCTTTCTCTTAATGCTCATATCAGTAGTTGCATTTCGCCAACCTGCTTCTAATTCTTCTCCTACTTCAACGATTTCTCCTACGGCAATAGAACATATTGAATGTTCAACTATTTCTCCTATAACTGTCACAGTCCATGAAGAACGTTCACGAGAAGAAGATACACCAGCTGAACAATCACATGCTCGTCGTTCTCGTGGTATGACTATTGCTCAAGTTCTACCACTTTTTATTTCTTCTGTTCCCGTTCGTACTGGTGTCACTATACCTTCTATTGAACCATCTACTGTTCGCCGATATTCACTTAATATGCGACCACGTTTTCCTACTATTAGTACAGAACCTCCTTCAGTTAATGTTACTACCATGAAAACTTTGAAAAGAAATCGTGCCAATACCATCGCTGTTCCACTTCAAACATCGAGAAAACTTGCCGAATCTTTTGAACGAATTCGTCAACCTCTTTATCTACTACCACTTGCACCGATCGCTTCGGCAGACGAAGATAGTGATGAAGAGAAGAAATCCTCATCTTCATCATCATTACCATCACCACCAATACCAACCAAACAAACAAATAAAATAGAAAAAACTCATAAAGAAAAACATTGGTTACTCAATAGTCGTTTTCTTCTCTTTTGTTTCTCAAATTTTACTTTATGTCTTGTTATGGGTGTACCATATGTTATTATTCCAAGATATATTTCTGAAACTTTTGGTAATTCAGGTTATTTAGCATCATGGACTTTATCTAATGTAGGTATTGCATCAGCGCTTGGACAAATTTTACTTGGTTATTTACATGATCGAAAAATTTTTTCTGCTTGGCTTATGTATACATTAGCAGTTATTATATCTGGTGCATCATTAATTATTCTTGCTTTATTTCGTTATATATTAGTTGTTCTTATTTGTGCATTTATGTATGGTTTAGCAATTAGTGCTAATTATGCATTACAATTACTTATTGTTATTGATGCTTTATCAATCGATAATATGGCAAATGCTTTTGGTATATTACAATTTTGTCAAGGTGTCAGTACACTTATAGGTATTCCAATTCAAGGTATATATGTGTATATAAACAATTTTCATCCATAGAATATTAAATTTCAAAGTTTTTTTTTTCATTACTTTTAGGTTTATTACGTGATCATAGTGATACATATAAGCTTTCTTTTCTTACATCAGGTCTTATTATAATTCTTTCGGGTATGATCATGTTGCTTTGGCCGTGTTTTGCATCAACGAATAAGAAAAAGATAAATAATGTTGACAACGACCAATGATAAACATATTTAATGATTTGGATTTATATCTTCCAATGTATATTGTGATAGATCATGAAGACAAAACCAAAGAGGTTTATTATGACTCAGACATGTTTGAAAATAATTTTTGTTAATAATTGACAATGGATTTTGATTTTCTTCCAAATCAGACGAACTACGTTTGCATGAAATCGGAGAAAAATGACAACGAAGAAAAGCTCGTTGTTCACTTCCATATGGTGAAGGATATGACTAAAAGAAAAAATATTTATAAAACTTAATATTTAAATATAGTTCTATACCATAACCAATCGAAAATGAATGATTAATGCTAATAGGATAAAAAGGTTTTGATAAAAAATTTTCATCTTTGATGAATTTACAATGAATATTTATGGTGTTTACTAGGATATGATAAATAAGTAAAAGAATAATTTTTTTTTTCCTGTATTATATATATATACAGATAAACACAGCAGTTCGTCTTCTATCAATGAATATATTTTGATTATCTCCTACACAATTAGAAATATACATGAATTAATTTCTAGAAAAGAATAAGTAAACCGATGATGAATACAATAATTAACATATACAAGAAAATATTGACGACGAAAGTTTTTTTTTATTGTTTTTTCTTTCTAGATAGAGAATAGTATATTGACATGATTGAATGACAGAAACAATCGATTATATTCGATTGCATAATATCAGTCAAAGATAAAAGTTGAAATAGTAAAGACGAATTAATTTCAAAATAGATTGTAATGGTCATAAGCGCTTTCTATTGACTTATTGCTTTCAATAAGAAAGCTAAATTAAATATATTGAAATATACAAAATTGGTCTAACTGCTGTATATAAGTACTTTATTTTACTTTTAATCGAAGATATTCAACATTATCGAAAAGGTTGCAATTGTTAAGTTTTGATATTAAAATTTCAAATTAGATTATACATATACTTATTTCGATTAAATGAAATATTACGCAGAATTTTTGTTTTCTTTTTTTCTCATAATACAACTTGTCTTTCTCAATGGTTGAATTACTGCTGTCAAATTCATTGAAATGTAAACTTATTTGCTTTGTAATCAATTTGATATTTTTTTTTTTTGAATAGTTTGTTAAGTTGTTAGTTTTGTCAAGCGAACTGTCTTCATTAAAATCTTTTTGTCACGTATATTTTTTCTTTTGATTTTATAGAATTTGGTTAGCTAGATTTGTTTTTTTTTAGACTTCATCTAACCTACGGTGATAATGACTACCTTTACCCCTGTTTTTATAATGCGCAAAGTTTTTTTTTAAATATTGTTGATCAATGAATTTTGGTCGCATAATGGCGTATGAAAAAATTATTATTGTTATAATTCAACGTGTAACTGCAAGAACATTGTGCTCTATGTAGACTCTGATGAGCCATGAGTATATTGAAAAGAGTTCGGGCTAATAGCTTAATTACTGCCAAGACACTGTATTTGTTTCGTATTTTTTAGCATATTGCCGTGATTCCTTGCAGGAACAGCATGAAAATTGAGTTTTGAATAACGGCTGAAAACTTTACATAGCGACAGATCTTAACCAACATAATGAGAAGTGTCCCATCCTTTGATTTGCTTCTTTCCTGAAATAAAAACATCAAATCTACCAGTGCATATGTGCAATGTAAAAGAGAAACTATTACCATAGCTGTATTGTCGAATAGGGAATAACGAAAATATCGGAGATTCTCACAATGAACTATTCTCAATGAGACCAGCATCTATGGAACGTTTCAAGTCAAAACTCGAAAATGAGTTATCTTAATGTTCCTAAGAGAACTATGGCATTAACTAAACAAATATTGTAGAAGTCAAGGAGGAACCAACTAATTTCTTTATTTGTTTGATTTCTAATTATGTTTTTAATTTTTAGTAATTTCTATCGTCTAGAAATCAGTTTTCATTTATTCACCATCAATTAATAGGAATCATCGGAAATGCTTAGAAGTAAAGAAAAATCACCAGAAATCAATAAGAATATTGGCAAATATTGAAAATCAAGCAAATTAATAGAAGCTATTATAAATCATTTAATATCAAAATTTTACTTGTACTCTTATTGCTAGAGATTTTCTAGTATTGAGAGTGACATCCATTGATCTCTTATGATTTCCAATAATTTTTAACCACTTCTAACCATTATTTATATCCTTAACCAGTTATAATGATTTCTGGTGATTTCCAGTGATCTCTAGCATAGAAATCAGTTTCTTTTCCCTTGTTAAAAATACAGCATCTTAGCAGCCAAAAAGCTAAAGGTCTGAAATCTTTTCGATGAATTCATAGCTCATTAGGGTCCATATGATTTATATAGTCTCGACTCAAAATCGTCCAATCGATTGATGGAATGCTCTTGTTACATTCAAAACTTAAAACAGAAACGAGTAGGTATGCAATCAATGTGAATGAAGAAATGGTCTCTTTCTTATCTTTCGAAGAAACACAATACCTTAAAATTCTACGAATAAAATACGTATTTTACACACAACATTTTCATATGTTTATCTTAACTTCTTCTTCTATGTAACTGATGACAAGAAAAAAACATATTTAAAAGAATATCAGTGAATATATATATACATATTAAAATAAGTTCGATGAAAACTTGAAGTATATATCAGTCATTGATTTGAATTATAGAGGGTCTATTTCTCTTCTTCTTCATACTTTTCACGTCGTGTCCAGCTGATGCCTCTCGATTCGCCTGCCTTCGTTTTTTTTTTTTGATAGTTTTTATATAATAAATGAAAGTATGGGAAGAAATAAAATGTCATTACTTCACAATCCATATTGGTTCCATGCTAAACACAGCTGACTCAAATATTGAATATTGTATAAGATGTGCAAACAAATAGGCTAGAAAACTTTAAGATCATTCAGGTATTTACACTTTTAAAAAAAATATTTATTAATAGAGATATCTAGAATATAGATTTATCATTGTGTCTTTTTGTTCGATCAAAGTTATACTAATAAAATTTGTTTAAAACTATTCATATGTATTCAATTACAATTGTTACTTGTTCTCAATGGTAGTTATCATTTGATATATATATATATGTCACAGATTCGTTTCTTTTTGTTTTAATTCTTTCTTTCAATTTTCTTTTTTGATAAATATTTAATTAATTCCACACAATTTTAGGTTTGTGTCGTTTATCTATTAAACATGATAAAAACCTATGATGGAGAGAAAAAAAAAACGAAACATTCTGTCTCGTTATTCAGGTAGTCTATGTATGCAATTGAAGCGAAACTTAGAAAATAATTGTGATAGACAAGTCTATACACTATAAAAGATGAAAGTAATACATATATGAACATTCATTTACTTTTTATAAACAAGAATTTCAAAAGAAAGTATGTATAGATTATTGTATATATATGCATGTATGTATATATGAATCCGTTTATTTAATCTCAGCTGGTAGGAGAAGAGCTGTATATTTAGAACCTCTTGTTATCAACTGAGATTTCATAAACATGGATCATATCAACAATCATAAATAATAATCAAAGATATAGTAAGTGGCATCTGATTTGAGTATTGCACTTGGTATTGGCTCGCTTATTCTATTGACAATACCGGTGTTAATACTCTTATCATACCACAATATACATATGAAGATAATAAGTGAAAATTATCATTAGTTAGTCATATATTTTATTAGATTATTTCGAGAAGATCATAAAATAGATTTTTACTGAAAAATTCTGTGTCAGAAAATTTTTATATTAAATATAACGTAGGTAAATTTAAAGTAGAAATCTGATTGCTCACATCGAATGGTATAAACTTTAAATTAAATATGATTTCGTTTTTTGTATTTTCTGTTATTTCAAAATAACAACATTGGTAAATTGAAATTATCATTAAATTAAAAATAACAGTGATATTTTCATATTAATATAAATCATTCAATTGAAGTAACTATGGTCAGTAAAACTGTATGATAATCATTCTATTTGATACAAGAAGAAAAAAATCTATATATACAAATTAGACATATCCTTGAAACAAAGAAAAAGTTTCAATTTACTATTTTGTTGAATTTTTATTTTTCTTCTAATACCTATTCAAATATTTTATTTGTAAGTAAATGCTTATCAAATGAAAAATATATGAAAATAAAATCTGATAAATTTCATCGAATACCAATCTCTTAAATAAGTTGTTACTGATTCACAAAAAAACATGTTTTTATTTTTTTTTTCTTAACAATTATCAAGGTTTTATTTTTAAATTTTTGCACGTATTTATTTCTAACAGGGCTCAAATTGACCCAGTCTGCTTTTCTGAGACTGATTTTATTTTATAACTTTCTGCTTTGTTCTTTTTTTTCTAAACGTCTGCTCTCAAAAGAAAAAAAAACACATTTATTAACTGAGCTACTGTCCATAGTTACAAGATAAAGAGAAACAAACAAAATGCTATTACTGTGGTTTCATGTTTGACAAGCAGAACCTAAATATGACATCATACTGGTATTGCAAATAATGTATAAAAAAATTGTTTTACAGATAAAATTAAAGAATAAAATATGTATTATCTATACGATTGTAAAACGAAATAAATGCATTCAATAAGAATATAAATGTTAAAATAGATGTTTTTTTTTATAGCATTCATCATACATACAAAATGATGGTTAACAACGAACATTTTAATAAATCAAACATATTTTTGTTTGGTTAAAGAAAAGAAGTATTGACATTGTACCATCCAGTAAATGATTTGATGAATAGTTTTATGCATATGAATCATAAATAGTTTATCAAATATATTCCATTGAAAACATTGAAAATCAGTAAGCCAGATGATTATTATTTGTTTAAATAAATAGTACTCATGAATGAAATATTCTTGGGTTTGAGAACAAAAGTATCAGCACTGTATTACCATGACAATAGAATTTATAATCTGTTTTTTTTCGATTACTTTTATATATCTTTTTATCGTAAGTTTTCTTTATTAATAACTTATGAGAACATATCATTCTTAAAGACTATTCTCTTATTAAATAATACTAGTAATTTATTACATGATCGAACTCTTATCTTAATTGAATGGAAGCATGAGCATTTTGTTAAAAATTTTCGTGCGTAAAAATTCAAAAGAAGTCATTCACAATAACAAAAACATGTCTGTCAGTTAACCGAATATTTTTGAACTCAGAATTCTGTTCTATCAGTACTTAAAATGAAGTAGGTAAACTGTATTAGTTTTTGTGTTTGTTTATTGCATTGAATCAGAGCTTCAAGAGAAAAAGAACGAATATTCGAATCATGCAATTCGTATGTGCTCACAAAATTACTTATGCGTAGTTAAGCATATACAATGCCAGTGAACTATTCTAGAATAAAGTCATTTTTATTCATATCGAACTCAACGGACAAATTTTAAATTATATCACAAACATGTATAACACAGCTTGATAACTACTAATATTTGCCATAATTATGCAAGGCATGCTATTATCGAGAAAGGAACATTTATTCTTCAAAACAAATAATAAAATCCTAATGCTTGTTATGTAGGCTATTTCTTAGTTTTATCAATCAAATACAACCATAGAAGAACAGACCACATTGATATTTCACTTCAATTGGATGAAATCTTATTTTAATTTATATATTTTAACATGATGAAGTGGTTCAAGTGTATATGTATAACAAGTAAAAGAATTCAAAAAGAAAGAAGATTTTTTTTTCATAGCAGGTGGCAATTGTATAACAGCATGAAACCTAATTTAGATAAAAGCTTAGCTTTGTTGCAATAACTAAGTAGATCAAGTAAACGAAAGGAAAGAAAAAAAAAATTCGCAGCGTAGGAGGAGAATCAGGAAAAATTTTTTTTTTTCTTCACAGTAACCGCCGGTATATAAGTATGCATATTTGTGACGCGATGAAAACATTATCACTAACACGAACTTGAAAAGAGAAATACTGTTACTACAATGAAATTAATTATTGTAATATCTTGGGTAAGAACTATTTTTTTCTTGGACGGCTTTATTCTCGATTTGTATTCACTTTGACTTTCTTTTTTTAAATTTAGTTACTTCTTGCTGTGACAATATTCTCAATGCCATCCGTAAATAGCGCTCCATCAAAATCAAAACGTGCCGCAGCTAACACTATAATTTCGCGTAGACCTACTACTTCAACAAATCATGCCACTCGTCCACAGCAAACAACAAGCGTAGAAAAAGTTTCGCCAGTGCGAACTACCACCCATGCGCCTACTCGTAGTTCTGCGCAAACAACAAAAAGAACTACTGCACGGCCAACTTCCAAAGTAACTACTACACGGCGAAGTACCACAAGAAATGTTGTTCGAGGAAAAAGATCTAATATGAAACCAGGTAAGTTATAATACGAAAGAAAATTGATTTATAATTTTTTTTTTTTTTATCAATAGAAACAAACAAAAATCGTCAGAAACGTTTATCACAATGGAACTGGGTTTAATACTTATACCGTGCATATAAAATATTGCAAGAACAATTTTTGAAGAACAATTTTTTATAATACAGTTTTATATTTTGTTATTATTATCAAATAATCATACTTTTCTGTGTAATCATTTATTAACTAAAAATCGAAAATCTAATATTTGTTGAATATTCTCTCATAGTACACATTTATTGCTGATATAAAAAGTTCTAGATCTTATTCTGCTTGTTTTAAACATGAATACTCTATATCGAACGAATATATTTGCTTGTAAATAATTTCGATAAAAAAATAAAATAATATTCGCTGAAATATATTGAAGTCATTTCAGTATAAAACATACAATGTACAACTATATATTTGATTGAAATATTGAATATATGATAGACAATTCTGTTTTCATATTGTATCAATACATACAAGTAAAATAAATCTGTTTGAAAACGGATTGTGGCATATTATTAAATAAAGCGAATAGTATTACATGTGTATGTGTAACACAATGCATGTGTCAAATTGAATTTTGCGTTTCTTTTTCTTTTGAGAATAATTTCTTTTGACCATGTCAAAACCTAATAAAAGATTTTGACATAAGTAATGGGAATTCGTACCGATACTAGGTCATTAAATGTAGGTAATAGTTTAATACCATGATTTTCAACCCTTTTGATCTGTCAAAATTTTTCTATGAAAAAAAAAGAAAAGACTTTTGTTTTATAAATATAAAATTCACGTTCGACATTTTTTTAACTACTCAAGGTTTAACGAAACTGTTATGAAAACTTTAATAAAGTTGTTAACATAGGCCCTGTAACATTAAAATATGAAGGACAATGTAGCTGATATTACTTAGCATAGGAAGGTTGCTTTATTTTATTTATTTTTGGACACGTTTCTGCATCACTCTTTTGCTTAAACCTTGATAAAATTGTAATAAGAAAGTAGTTCATCAATTATAACGAGACGTTATTGATATATGATATATGATATTTGATCTTATATCAGCATCGTCTGTCACGATGTGTGGGCATTTCTGACTAGCATCCTTCACACTTAGGTATGAGTGATTTCGATAGCAAAAAATCTGAAATCTGACGGATCCAAGTCCAAGTTGCAAGAACTTTGGAATCAAAAGAATTTTCATGAAAGATAATAAAAGCATTTTTATCTTCTTACAAACGGCTAAATTAATCGTTCAGAAATTTATTTAAACACTATTTAAAAAAGATACTATTTCTTCTCAGAAAAAAGGGTACGTTTAAATCGAATGTTACATATGAATCAAGCTACATTTAATTTTTAGTCAATTTGCCAAAAATAAAAAGAAGTTATTATGAAAACGTAATTCATTATCTTCTTGTTCTTTAATAAAAGTATTTTTGTCATGATCCAAAAGATTCTATCCTTGTGATTATTGTTCAGTCCTACTTGATTGTTGCATGCAGATACTATTGAAGTTGTGTCCGATGATGTTATATTCGTAATTTGAGTCGGGCGATTTCAATGCGATTCCAATTCCAAAAAAAGTCAATTTTGCCTATATCTAATTACAGTCAATAATGGTCTTCGACTTGGAGGATTCAAAATTTTACTTCTACACTTCAACACCTCTTTTAGATCGTGTTTTATAAAAAAAAAACATTATCTAAAACCAATCTATCTTCATTTCAAAAGTCTATCAAGAAAACTATACTACAAAAAATATTTATTGAATAATAAATAAACATGTTTCAATTACAACGTTGTATTATCTACACCAGTTTGAGCTGTAATTCTATTTTTATTCCATTCTGCCCATTCTTCTGATGACAAATCATCGGGTTCAGTTTCAGGTTCTTGTACCCATCCTCGTCGTTGTGCTATTTCAAATAGAATAAAGACAACTGCTAACATAGCATAAGCAACAGTGAATTGCCATCCGTCATCGGTTGTACGATAGAGAACTCCTACAGTTGATGCATGTATTAAACCAAAAAATGACAGAATACTAGCAAGTACCGACCAAATAATGGCTCGAGTAAATTTTCGATCAATCATATATATCATAAGAACTGTAAGGAAAATACATTGTAGAAGACTGCCACCAGCAAAATTGTTAAGACCACGATAAGAAAAGTCTTTTATATGTAATGTAACGTTTTCTTCAAAGCCAACACTAGATATCGTAAAACCGGAATAAGCAGATGAAACACCATTAATTATAGTCGTTCGTGCCCAATCAGCTATGGCAGGCATGATACCGAGAAGAAAAGCTGGATAATGACGAGGTGGTGTAATAGCAAGAGTTTCAGCACAAATAAACAGACCGATAAAGATCTATAAATTTTTCAAAAAAATATATTAATAATTTGATTTTTGATTCCATTAATTCAACCGAAAGTTTATTTGAATTATAAGAATTGAGCGAAGAATTTTCTTGTCATTAAAAGAGCTTTTCTTTTGTTTTTTTTATACTTAATAATATAAGTTATGAAATGTTTACTTTTATGGACAATAAATTAAAATAGAAGGATGTTCTTTGTAGTTGAAGAACTGAGTTTAATCCAAAATTCTTGAAAACAAAAAGGATTTTTAACTCTTCTAATCTTCTTTCAGAATTGTCTATTAGACATACACAGAATTCAAATGTTCAGATTCAGTTTGAAATGTAATCATGTTCAATTAATTAATAAAACAAAGCACAAGTAGACCAAAAGAAAATATTTCAGGCTTTACTTTGGTAGATCTACATACAGTGGAATAAATGATTCACAAACCACAGATCTGCAGACGTTCAAAAATACTCAAACACAAACTAAAGGAAAAATTAGAATATTTCGTTGATTACCCTTATATATCGTGAAATGCCTTTGGAATTACTCAAATATTCAACATTGTCTAAACTAGATGGATAATTTCTGAACCCGAGCACAGAACCAAAATTAAGAGTCAGTGTATGCCTATGATTTTATTATATTATCATAAGAAATTTATCCTTTAAACTTACGTGTACAACAAAAAAAGTCTGACTCTGAAATTTCATTAAAAAATAATCTGTCGTCATATCACGTGTCGAATTTCTTTATTTGAACTGTCTTATATTGCATGATACTGTCACTGTTTTTTTTGTATAACTTTCTAAAGATATATATTTAATATGTCATGTAACTCACAATAACTGGATTCACAGCAACAACAGTAATAATTCTAAGAAGAAGAGCAATGATACCAAAAAAACATAATGGAACATAAATAAGACAGTTGATTAAAGAATAAGCTTGTCTTGCACCCATTTTTTTATATGCTGGATGACCAATATACGCTAAACAATAGCAAACGACATTCAAATAAATGTATAAATATTTACGACATAACTTACTTGTCATGCCAAGAAAAGATCCAAAAAAACTTGCAATTATAGTTCCAATTCCATCAGCAAACATTGACTCACGAGTTGGATAGAAATCTCCAGCTCTTTTTGCTGATTCAACACATTGTATAGTACCAATAGCAATTGAAATAGCTGTAGGAATTGTGGTCGATAAAAATGGACCAATGCGATTCATATGTGCAAATATAGCTTTAGCCGTAAATTCTGGTGCATAAGCTTTGATTACGACAGTTGCATTACGCACATCTTCACCTTTATTAAGTGATGTCGCCCAACCAAGAGCAGTACCAACAACTAGAGCTACAGAAGCTATAGGAAATGGACCAACTTTAACTAAACGAAAGAGAAAAAAACAAAATAAATAATGAACCAAAGTTTTTTTTTTTTTTTTAAATAATAGTTACTTCCACTAAAATAACCAATCATAACAATGGCAAAAGGAAGAAAAGATACAATAGGTGAAGCAGCTATAGGTAAGTATTGATTTAATGCTAAATAAGTAAATCCAACTGCTGAAAGAGATGAAAGTAGTGCAACACCAGGTATATTACGTCGAATAAATTCACCGAAGACACATAACAAAAGAATAATGATACCAGTTATAAAATTACCTGCTAATGCTATATACCAAGCAAGTTCTTGACATGAACGTTTATTAGAACCATTGTTTTCTCGCATACATTCATTATAAACAGGAAATATAATACCAAAGACAAATGCAACTAAAAATTATTCAAAAATATAAATACAACAAAAAAACAAAATTTCATTACATGCACCCGGTGTATTAATTCCATACGGCATTGCACATATGTCTTCTCGTTTTTCCTTGAAGGCTAATTTTCGAGCCATATAAACATAATAAAAGTTACCCCATATCAGAGCTAATGCCACTCTAAGAGAAAAAAAATCGACATCATTAGATCATTTCTATTTTATCAATTATTTTTACCCGGGTACAATTTTTCCATAAACAATATCACTATCAAGAACAGACAAAAGACTAAGGATAATTGTTAATAATGTCGCCATATTGTCAATAAAAAGAGCAACTAGACCATCAATATCTCCTTTTCTAAATATAGGATATGTTGGATTTCGTCGAAAAGCATCTCGCCATGTGTCAGGATGAAATGTACATAATTCACGTATTTCTTTCTTCATTGCATGCCATTGTTGTTCGAAAAACAGATGAATTTTATCCTTTGTAGTCAATATGACAACATTGTCTTTTGGTAGATCATGTATCGACATCTTACATTCGATGGATTAAGGATTTGCAGATATAAACATGTGTAAAATAATTACACACTGAAGATAAATATATACCTTTTATAATAAGATGGAAGAAATAAAATTAAGTTGTATTTCTTTATTTGGGTTACTCTTTCATATTCTCTTACAAATATAAAGGTTATATAGATAATACATGTTTCTATTTAAGACTATTCTGTTCGTATTTCAATACAGAAAATGTAAAAAAGCTATTAGACAAAAGCAATGATGGCTTTTTTTTTCGCAAAAAAATATTGCGAAGATTTATTGTTCTCATAAGAAGTTATAATACAGTAGTATTTTATGAAAAACAATATTTCAACTGACTATTTCTAATACGAAATGATTAGGAAAAAAAAATGAGTAATTA